CTTAGGAAACTAGAAAAAGAAGAGCAAATTAAATCCAAAGTGGGCAGAAGAAAAGAAATACTAAGAATTAGAGTAGAAATCAATTAAAATGAAATCAATAGAGAAAATCAACAAAACCAAAAGCTGCCTCCTTGAAAAGATCGGTAAGATTGACAAGCCTCCAGTTAGGCTAACTAAGAAAAAAGAGGGAAAACACAAATTACTAATATCAGAAATGAAAGAGGGGCCATCTACTGACCCCATGGACATTAAAAGGATAATAAAGGAATACTATGAACAACTCCATGCCCACAAATTTGATAACCTACACAAAATGGACCAATTCTTTGGAAGGACACAATCTGTCAAAACTCACACAAGAAAAAATAGACAATTTAAATAGGCTTATATCTATTAAAAAGGTTGAATCAATAATTAATTACCTTCCAAAACAGAAAGCACAAGCTCCTGATGGGTTCGCTGGTGAATTCTACCAAACCTTTGATGAAGAAACTATACCAATTCTCTTCAATCTCTTTCAGAGGATAGAAGCAGAGGGAATACTTCCTAACTCATTCTATGATGCCAGCATTATCCTAATACCAGAACCAAACTAGACATTACAAGAAAAGAAAAATATAGACCAGTATTTCTCATGAACATAGATGCAAAATTCTCAACAAAATATTAGTAAATAGAATCCAAAAAAGTATAAAAAGAATTATACACCACAACTAAGTGGGATTTATTCCAAGTATGCAAGGCTGGTCCAACATCTGAAAATCAATTAATGAAATCCATCACATCAACAGACTAAAAAATAAAAATCACATGATCATGTCAATAGATGCAGAAAAGCATTTGACAAAATACAACACCTATTCATCATAAAAAACTCTCAGTAAACTAGGAATAGAGAGAAACTTTCTCAACTTGAAAAAGACTATCTACAAAAAACCCTATAGCCAACATTATACTGGATGGTGAGAAACTCAAAGCTTTCCCACTAAGATAAGTTACAAGGCAAGGATGTCCCCCTACCAGTCCTTTTCAACATCCTTGCTAATGCAATAAGGCAAGAAAAGGAAACAAAAGGTATACACATGGGGAAGGAAGACAAAAAACTGTCTTTGTTTACAGATGACAATGATCATCTAGATAGAAAATCCAAAATAATCAACAAAAAATCTCCTGGAACCAGTAAGCGATTTTAGCAAGGTTGCAGTATATGAGGTCAGTATACAAAAGTCAATTGCTTTCCTAAATACCAACAATGAACATGTGAAAGTTGAAATTAAAAACACAATACCATTTATAAATCAGCACCCTCAAAAATGAAATACTTAGGTATAAATCTAACAAAATATGTACAAGATCTCCATGAGGAAAACTACAAAACTCTGATGAATGAAATCAAAGAAGAACTAAATAAATGGAGAGAGAAACCACGCACATGGACAGGAAGATTCAATATTGTCAAGGTGTCAGTTCTTCCCAGCTTGATGCATAGATTCAATGCAATCCAGTCAAAATCCAGCAAGTTATTTTACAGATGTCGACAAAATGATTCTACAGTTTATATGGAGAAAGAGAAACTCAGAATAACCACCGTTTCAATATTCAAGGAGAAGAACAAAGTCAGAGGACCAGCTTCAAGCCTTACTATAAAGTTACAGGGTGGTATTAGTGAAAGAACACACAAATATATCAGTAGAATAGAATAGAGAGCCCGAAACAGACCCCCATAAACATAGTGAACTGATCTTTAACAGAGGAGCAAAGGTAACACAACTGAACAAAGATAGTGTCTTCAACAAATGCTGCAGGAACAATTGGACATCCACATGTAAACAACAGAATCTAGACACGGACTTTATATCCTTTGTGAAAAGTCAAAATGGTGCAGAGGCCTAAATGTCAAATGCAAAGCTATAAAACTCCTAGGAGATAACACAGGGGAAGACTTAGATGAGCTTGGGTATGGTGAATCTTTTTAGATACAACACTAAAGACATGATCCATGAAAGAAATATTGAATATTCATTAAAATGGACTTCATTAAAATTAACAACTTGTGCTCTGTGAAAGACTATGTCAAAAGAACAAGAAGACAAGCTACTGACTGGGAGAAAAGTATTTGCAAAACATTGTTATCCAAAACACACAAGGAATTCTTAAAACTCAACAATAAAAAAGCAAATAACCTGATCAGAAAATGGGCCAAAGACCTTAACAGACACCTCACCAAAGAAGATATATAGATGGCATATAAAAAGATGTTGCACATCATATGCCATCAGGGAAATGCAAATTAAAATAATTTAATACCACTACACACTTGTTAGAATGGCAAAAGTATGGAACACTGACAACACCAAATGCTGGCAAGGATGCAGAGCAACAGGAACACTCACACATTGCTGGTGGAAATGCAAAATGGTACAACCAGTTTGGTGTTTTCTTAAAAAACTAAACACACTCTTGCCATATGATCCAGCTATTGCTTTCCTTGGTATTTACCCAAAGGAGTTGAAAACTTATGTCCACACAAAAATCTGCACACCGATGTTTACAGTAGCTTTATTCATAACTGCCAAAATTTGGAAGCAACCAAGATGTTCTCCAGTTGGTGAATGGATAGAGAAACCATGGTACATCAGACAATGGAGTATTATTCAGTGTCAAAAAGATATGAGCTATAGAGCCATGAAAACACAAGGAGGAACCCTAAATGCATACTACTAATTGAAAGAAGCCAATCTGAAGAAGCTACACATTGTATAATTCCAACTATATGACATTCTGGAAAAGGAAAGACAATAAAGAGATGAGTGGTTGCTAGAGGTCTTGGGGGAGAAATGAACAGGCAGAGCACAGAGGATTTTCAGGGCAGCATTATACATCTGTCCAAACTCACAGAAAGTGCAACACCAAGAGCAAACCCTATGGACTTTGGGTGATGATGACATGTCAATGCAGGGTCATCCTAGGTAACATATGCACCATTCTGGTGAGTGATGCTGATGATGAGGGAGGCTATGCATGTGTGGGGGCAGGGGTTATATGGGAAATCTCTGTGCCTTCCTCTCAATTTTGTTTGTAACCTTAAACTCTTCTCAAATAAATTAAGTCCTTAAAAAATTTTTTTAAATAAAAAAATTAAAATAAAAGTGGGCAAAAGATATGAATAGGCACTTCACCAAAGAAGATATGTGGATGTCAAATAAGCATATTAAAAGATGCTCAACATCATATGTCATTAGGAAACTGCAAATTAAAACAATGAGATATCACTACACACTAATTAGAATGGCAGAAATCAAAAACAGTGACTACACCAAATGCTGGTGAGGATGTGGAGCAACAGGAACTCTCACTCACTGCTGGTGGGATGCACAATGACACAGACACTTCGTTAGACCATCTGCCAGCTTCTTGCAAAGCTAAACATAGTTTTATCACACAATCTAATAATCACGCTCTTTAGGTATTTACCCAAAGAAGTTGAAAACATATGTCTACAAGAAAAACCTGAACACAAATGCTTATAAAAGCTTTATTCATAATTGCCAAAATTTGGAAGCAACCAAGATGTCCTTCAATAGGTGGATGGATAAATAAACTGTGGTCGATCCAGACAGTGGAATATTATTCAATGCTAAAAAGAAATGAGCTATCAAGCCATGAAAAGACATAGAGGAACTTCAAATGCATATCGGTAAAGGAAAGGAGCCAATCTGAAGAAGCTACATACTATATGATTCCAACAATATGACATTCTGGAAAAGGCAAAACTACAGAGACATTAAAAGACCAGTGGTTGCAGGGGTCAGGGAGGAGAGGCCACACCTGGACTCCTGGGGACAAAAGCCAGGCGGGGACCCTGAGCTCGTCCTCAAGCTAATCCAGAGAGAATCAGACCAGGGGGCTGATTCCCAGGAGTCTGGAAAGAGACTCACCAGTCCCATGGGAGGTGAGACAAAGAATGGATCAGGGAAAGGTTTTTCCCAAGGAAGCAAAGAGGAAGGGGAGGCTAAGCAGCCAGCCAGCAGCCTTCCACGGTTACACCCAGGATTGTGCACTGGCCCACAGCCCCAGGTGAGACACCTGAGCACGGGAGAATGGGCACACGCATGTTTCTGTGGACACGTCTGCAAAGAGAGCAGGTATGTGGTGGCACCACGTCTTCTTGAGACCTCCATTTCACCCAGCATTCCACGCCAGCTCTGCTCCTGCGGTCTCTCCTTCTCTCGGAACATTTTATCCATCCCTGGTACTCGCAAACACCCACACACCTTCCGCACAGTGTGCGGGGCCTGTACTTGTCACTGCAGGTCTCTCCCTACCTGATGGAGGGGCTTGAAGGCCAGAATGGCATCTTGCTCTCTCATACCTTCAGTGCCCGCACAAGGTCAGGACCTCATGGATGTGCAAGTGAGTGAGGGGAAGAAAGAAGGAAGCTCAGGCGAAGGCCTGGGGGGACCCAGAGCAGGGACCACAGGGCCTGTGAATGGGTGGGAGACCACCCACCACCACCCCACCCCACCCCTGTCGAGAGCATCCACCTCCTCACCCACCAGTTCTGGGTCGCAGTCAAGCCTGCTGCCGCTAGTCCCCAGCAGCCTTCATGCAACTATGAAGAGTCATGACCATTTGTGGTCAGCTTCCTGATGAGACTACAAGCTCCACAAGGGCAGCCCTGGTCCTGATCTCCCCGGCTGTGTTCCCAGCATTCTAACACCACACCTGGCACTCAGCTGGTAACTTTCAAATACTTTTGGCAGGGAGCAGAGCAGAGCTTAAGTGACACGTGACAGTTATGGTGCTCCTCTGGGTGCTGGAAAGCAAAGGGACATCAAGGCACAGAGGCCAACAGCAAAGGACTTTCTCTGCAGCTAGGGGAACAACTCACAGAAGCACACTCCATCCCCAAGTGGCTGCCATACAGCAGGAGGGAAGGGGAAAGAACAAATTGGGCCTGCACAAGCGGACCCTCCCCGCTGGTACGGGGAGATACTCACTGGGAACAACTGTGGTCTCCCCAGGAGGTCCAGTCAGCATCACTGGGATAGGCACAGTAGTGCTCGGGTCTGAGGGTTGACTGCCCATCCGAGTGACATTCCGCTGATTATCTGCATCCTCTGGCTGTTCCTCCACTTTCTGTAGACAGGTACTTGGGAGCGCATGCACAGGACCCACACCCATTATCCCAGTGGCCTCCAGGTCACAGTGCGGCTCCCTGCAACCAAAAATGCACATCAGAATCTGATGCAGCCCCAAACTCCTATTCTATCTGCAAAACACAGCTCCTTAAACCCCTATCCAAATCAAATAAATCCCTGACCATCTCCTCTGCTACTCTGGCATTTCATGCAATTTTTACCACTCTGTACACTTCTGCATTTTTAGGTCTGAAAGGTAGGGACGGGGCTGACTCACCTATCTGTTTGGCTTCACATGTGTGTGGAAGGAACTGTTTGCAGAATGAAGAAGCCTGGAGGAGTGTACTTCTCTAAGCCACCCCACCTAGGGCCACACCAGGCCAAAGGCCCAGCACAGCGCTCTGCACACAGTGCCACAGCTGGGCTGATCTCCAGTGGCGGCATCCAGCTGCATGAGTTCTGAGTGGCCTGTGGCCCATCCACAAGGATGAAGACTGCTGACCGCAGCCTCGGGCCTCCTGTTACCCCAGGTTCTCAGAGTCAGAATCAGATCCCATCCCAGCCAGGGAGCAGACTGGGCTGGCCTGGGGTCCCTTCTGCCATGGCTGCACAGCTGTCCTGCCTTGTTCTACCATTTAGCCCAGCACCTTGCCTCAGGTTCTCCTGACTCCCTCTTTCACAGTGTTCCCCAATCTTCTCTTCTCTCTGGGCCACTCTGTTCTTTCCAAGCCACGTGTCCCAAACCAGTCCCCACAATCTCCCTTGGATGCTTTAGAATAACAGTTGACATTCCCTGAGCGTGTACTCCGCCCACCCACGGGTAAGCATTTTACATGTCACCCGACAAGGCAGGACTGTCACCGCCCCAGAAAGGGACTGAGACGGCGGGGGTAGGTGGAGCGCAAACAGGGCCAGCCTGGCCAGGTCTGCACCCCAACCCTGTGCACCCTGCCCCACAGGTCCACAGGGCTGGGCCGGCGTCTCCCTCCACGATTCGCCCACTTCCCGAGCACTTGCTCACCTGGGTTGGTGGTTCCGCAGCTCCTTGTCCTTGTCCCTGTCCTCGACCCCGCTCTCCCTCTCCGCGGCCTCCTTCTCCGCATCCTCGTGGGCGGGCAGCGCCTTATGCCGGGCCCGGTGCCGCCGCGCCGGCTCCTCGCCGCTCTCGGCCTCCCTGGGGCCGGCCCGGGGGCCGCGGTGCCGCGCTCGGCGCTCGCCCTCCTTGCCCTGGTCGGGCGCGTGCCGGTGGGCCCGGTGCCGCCGGGGCTCCCGCTCGGCCGCCTCCTCCGGGGAGCCACGCCGGTGGTGGCGCCGGCCGCCCTCGGAACCCGGGCCGCGGCCGCGCTCGCTCCGGGTCTCCTTGCTGCGGCTGCGGTGCGGCCGCCCCCCGGGCTCCCCGCCGTCGGCCTTTGGGGCCTCCGCCCTGTCCTGCTCCCCCGCCGGGGCCGGGGCCTTGTCGCGGTGCCGGTGGTGCCTGCGCGGCGGGTCCGCGCCCTCGCTGGCCTCTCCGCCCTCGGGCCGGGCCTTGCCCCCCGCGGGCCCCCGCGCGCCCTCCCGGCCCGGCTCCACCACGAGCGGCCGGTCCAGGTGCGTCTTCATGTCGGGCCGCAGGTGGCGCGTGGTGGCGTAGTGCAGCCGCTCCTCGGGGTCCATCTCGCTGTACAGCGCCTCGCGGCTGGCCCGCAGGTTCTGCAGCCGCAGCTGGCTGGCCCGCTGCTCCCACACCGAGCGTGCTTTGGCCGAGTTCTGCTGCCTGCTGCGGGGAGACCGGCGGTGAAAGGCCGCCCCCTGTGCCGCCCCCCACAGATGGACACACAGCGATGGAGGGATGGCAGAGTGGGCGCGGGGAGGGGGGAGGAGGAGGGGTGGCAGGAGCCCTCAAGACCCCTGGCAGAGTCGATGCAGAGCAACAGGGGAGGGGATACCCAGGGTAATAGAACTCAGCACTGCCCCCTGTGGTTGCGACCCCGCAGACCGCCAGAGCACCAGCCTGGAGGGGGTGAGGCTCCAGGCCGCTCTTGAGCAGGCGGACAGCCACCGAGGCCGAGGGGTGCAGGTCAGTGGGAATGACAGGCACCAGCGTGAGGTGGCAGACAGGCTTCCAGGGCAGGTGTGCAGCCGGCCAGGAAGACCACCGTAGGGAGAGGAGGGGGGCAGAGGCCAAGTGGGGCAGGACTGAGCAAGAGGCAGGAGGCAAGGAGCCCCCTGCATCTGCCCTGGGGAGCCAGCCCTGCTGCAGCACAGAGAGCAGAGCCGCCCAGGGTGGGGCTGCTCCATCTCTGCCTCCAGGAAGAGTGACTAGCACAGGGAGCAAGGACCGCGGGCAGCTGGCCCTTTAGGGAGCGAACAAGGAGCGAGGCTGCTCCCTGAGGTGGTCAGCCCCATCGGACAGCTGCCAATGGGCTCAATAACCATTTGCTCCCACAAGCCCAGCAGTCAGGTGTGGGGCTGGAGACACTACCTCCTGTGGTTACCAACACCCTCCTCTGTCCTGGCTCCATGGAGAGCCCCTCCCTCCACCAGGGGCAGAGAGAAGCCCTCTAGCACCAGGTGTGGCCTGTGGTCCAGGCTCAGCCCTCACTGCACAGGCTGCAAGGCTTTGACCACCCTCCAGCCTCACTCACACAGTCACATGTGAGGCTCCACAGCCCATGGTGCACAGGATGCCCTTTGCGTTCCGGGGTCTTTGCTGAATAAGACCCCCAAAGTAGGTGACCCCAGCCCCATCTTGGCCAAGCAGAAGCCTCTGAGGCCAGAGTGTCATCCTTCAGCCTCTGGAGGTTTCTGGACCCACCATGGTGGTGGCAATGGCAGCATAAGACGATGATAGCTGTGGTGTCTGTATTGTTCAACAGCCACACTGTGCTCTGGGCTTCAGTGCCCACCTCATTCGACCCTTACAACCACCTCAGGAGTTAGGTGCTGCTCTTGTCCCCATTTCACAGATGAGGATACTGAACCTAGAGGACGTGCTTCTCAGAGGGTCCCACAGTGAGTCACTGACGGAGCCAGGATCAGACGCATGCAAGGGCAAAAAGGAAAAAGTATCTAAAGATCTGAGGCCTCGGCCAGACCCCAACTACACTGACAGCAAAGCCCAGAGCCACAGTCTGAGGGGCCCCAGGCCGGCCCAGCCACCAGCTCTGAGGCCCAGGCTAGACAGGCCACCAGCTCCACGGCCCTGGGCCACTGAACACCATGGTGACCTGCAAAAACAGAGGCAGCCAGTCCCTGCAGTTGGCCTGGACAAAGTAGATGGACGACAAGTGCTGCCCTTTGCAGGTGAAGTCCAGGCTCCAGGGCGGGGAGCCATTTCGGGGGCAGTGCCTCGAAAGTACGAGAGCAGAAGAGCATTGTGCTCTTCTGAGAGCTCTCACCTGAGGGCCCAGATGTGGGCAGGCAGGGCAATGTGTGGGGGACGACTGTCGGCCTCTGGCCATCTGCTGACCTGTACCTTGGGCTGCCACCCCAGGCCCTGACCTGCCTCCCCCAACACATCGAAGCTGTGGTGCCCCATTCCCAAGGACACTTGGCAACAGTCCCACCTTCCCTTTCTTTGGCTTCAGCCTAAAGCTGCAGGGGACCTACCCATCCCCAGCTGGCATCAAAACAAAGGGCCAGGCTCTAGATAATGCTGAACCATGAGAAATGGAAGACAACCACGAGGGCTGTTCCCCAGGCACAAGAGCCCATGAGAGCTGATGACCGGTCACTGCCTCAGGCCTCCCAATCAGTCCAGCACCCCAAGATGGGCCTGGACTCTGGACTCTGAGCCACTTGGTTGGCAGGGTGGTGGCCTACTCAGGAACAGCCACAAGTACTGGGGACAAGTTCTCTGTCAGAAAAGACAGGCAGTAAAGGCAATGGGGACGTGTGGTACCTGGCAGCTCAGTGGGGATGGGATCCTGACAGCATGGCTCTGCCCTCAACCTGACCCTCAGGTGCAGCTTCTTCTCTCCCAGGAAGCAGCTAAAGTCATGGAGAGGTGGGCTGTCTGCTGGACTGGAGGGTGCCGTGGGGCTGGCAGGCTCCCCTCATCACGACCTAGGGGAGCAAGACACTGAGCAACCTGCACTGCTGCTCTACCTGGCCCAGCTCCTGCTGGGTCTCTCTGCCTCTCTGGGCCCTAAAGCCACCTGAGACTGTCTGCATCTGCCTGCCACTTAGTGGCACCACTGGCTTCCTCTCTGGATGGTCTCATTCTGTGCACCAGCCTCTCCTCCTTGGTGCTTGACTCAGCCTGCCCCTGCCCTCGTGGCTGTTCTGTCCTTGCTCTGTCTGGCACACAGAGCAGTTTGGCCCGCGTTGGTCTCTCACTCTGTGCCTCTCCACCAAGCTCATGAGCAGTGGAGGAAGGTGAGAGCAAGGGCAGGGCCACCCTCTGATCTACAGTGCAGTGTGGCCGGTGACTCTAATTCTGGCAAAGTCCTTGTTTAAAAGGGCTCTTTAAGGAGTCACATGGAGGAATCGGTCCCACGATGTCCCAGTCCCGGCTTGCAGGCACAGCCAGGCTCAGTTGCACTGGACCCAGGCACTGTGGATGTCTGCAAGACTCAGAAAGGAGCCTCTGTGGTGTGGCCCTGCTTTGAGGTCTCTGGACTGAGAAAGCCAGTTGCCCATAGCTGCTGACACTGTGAAACAGCCCATGGTGTGACACCATTGATACCTACATCCGAATCTTACTCCATCCTATGAATCAGTCAATGAGGATCTAGCTTTCTTACCCCATGAGACTTCAGGGCCCCAGCAGCCAGTAGGCCCAAGTACTTGTGGGAGGACCGAACCCAGCTCTGTGCTGGCCAAGCAGGGAGCAAGGTAGTCAGGGACAACAGGAGCTACCACCACCACCACCAGGACACAGAGGGCACCTGGGCTTCCCTGCCTCACAGTACCCAGCCACTCCAAGGACCTCTCACGTACAGGGCCTGGTCTCAGCATCAGGAGGAAGCCCCTGGGGACAAGCCGCTCAGGGCCATTTCCCCAGTCAGACTGGTGTCACTGCAGGAGAGCCACCCTGAGGTTTCCATAGTTCTGCCTCGGGCACTGGCTGGTCTAGTGTGAGCCTCACAATTGGACAGCGGCTCTGCTCTTGCTAGAACAAGGACATCCTAAAGATTACAGATGCATCCTCTCCCAAATAAGGAAGGGATGGGGCAGGAGGACCCCATGAATGTCCCCCGTGAGCCCTTAATGAACACTACCTCATGGGAACCAAAGGAGACAGCCCCCAGTGGCACCCAGCGGCGGTCACCTCAGGAGAAGCAGATGTGCCCGAGACACCAGAGTGACAGCACATGGACAGACAGCAGACAGGAGGACAGAGACCAGGAGGGAGAGGCGGAAGGGCTGAGCTCAGAGAGTCTGATGCCCCTGAGCAGGACCTAGGGACGTCCCCGCCAGGCTGCAGAAGGCTTGCCTGGAGCTGCCCCTGAAGCAAATGACTTGAGGTGTGAAAGCAGAGTTAGGCGTAGAGGGAGGTGTTTGCGTGTAGTTATCATGAAGCCATAGATGGATATCGTAGCAGAGCGACTCACGGTGAGTTTACGCTGGAGACAGATGAGCTGCGAGATACAGTACCTCGAGTTTGCTTTACAAAACTGCACATGCAAAAAACAAAACAAAACCAAAGTGAGAAAACCAGAGAGAGTTCTAAGAGACACTAGAACACGTGTGAGCCACGCCAGGTCAGGGTGCAGGCTGCAGTGTGCATCTGGGCAGGAGGCCAGGGATGCTTCCATCAGAATGAGCACCAGCTGAGACCTCGGGGTAAAAGAGAAGTTGAGAAAGAAAGAGCATCCAGCAGAAAAGTGAAACTAAAGTGAACACAGCAAATCCCACCATGGCTGGAAGACGAGAAGCCATTATCTTGGGGGCCCATCTGCCACAGCTCTGCACGCACTGCCCCTGGAAGGGTAGTGGGGTTGGAAAGAGCCAGCACCACTTGTCCCACAATTCCAAACAGCCCTCCCCCACCAGACTTAGCGCCCACTCCCAAGGGGCCAAGGTGGGCTGACCCATGCAGTCGCCTGGCCTTCGAGATGGAGCAGAGCCAGCTGACACAGGAGGCCTTACCTGCAGCGCCTCACCTGGGCGCCCTGTGCCTCCCAACCCCACTCTGCCCCCAGCCCACCCAGGTCCCTTGGCTCCCCAGGCTCTAAGCCAGGTGCTTCCAGCTCACCATGACCTTTCCCGGGGCACAGGTTCCATCACCACCCAACCTTCCCTTGGGTGTAATGCCAGTCACTTCCAAGTGACTTTCTTAAAGCTTTTCCAAAGCCAATAGAGAGAAACCAAAGAGCTCTTTACAATCATTTCCCTTCGAGGTGGCTTCCCCAGGAGAGCAAGGTGGGTTCCCAGCTCCTCCTTCTCAAGGCTGAGTCTACATACATTTGTGAGGAGTTCAAAGCAACTCACCTGTCTGCAGGCCCTGGGTGCAAACAGGTGTGTGTGTGCAAGAGAGGGTGCAAATCTTTGTGTGTGACTGAGTGTGTAAGCTTGTGGATTGTGAGTGTGAAATTGTGTGAGTATATGAATGAGTGTGTGAGGCTGTGAATGAGTGTGTGTGAGAGAGTAAATGTGAAAGTGTGTGAGAGTGAGGGTCAGAGTGAGTGTGAATGTATGAGAGTGGGTGTGAGTGTGAATGCACATGAGAATGTGAGTGAATATGAACATGTGTGAGAGCAAGTGTTTGAGTGGGTGTGAAAATGTGAGTGTGAATGTGTGTGAGTGAGTGGACTGTGTGAGTATGAGTGTGAGTGTGAATGTGAACATGTATGAGTGTGTGAGTAAAGGAGAACATGGGTGAGTGTGAACATTTGTAAGTGTGTGAGTATGATCGTGTGTGAGAACAAGTGGTTGTGAACGTATATGAGTGAGTGGGTGTGGACATGTGTGAGTGTTAACATATGTGAGAGTGAGTGTCAGGGTGAGTGTGAATGTGTGAGAATGAACATGAGCGAGTGTGTGAGTGAACGTGTGAGCGAGAGTGAGTGTGTGTCCCGGCATTCACAAGTCTGGGTGATGAGGAGCACGACTCAGCAGAGAGAACCAGGAAGACCACATCAACCTTAGCGTCCCTTCCCTCCCAGGAGCCTGAAGTGACTGTCACTTGAAGCCAAGATGCTCACAGCCCCAGCCAACCTCCACAGGACATGGGCGCCCTCTGAGCTGGGATTCAGGCACCGTCTGTGTCAAGCTACACAGAGTGCTGATGGGGGCCTCTCAAACACCAAGGACACTAAACGTCCCCTCAGCATCCAAGGCGTCACAGAGAACATCTCAGCCAGTCCTCCCATTTCACAGACCACAAGGCCCAGCTGTGAGGAGCAGGGTCAGGGCAAGGGTCACTTGGGGGACCTCATTCTCACCCCACCCCAGCAGCTCGGGTTGTAGAAATGAACACACGGAGAAGGCCCATCCAGCCAATATGACTCACCAGGAGAACGGGAAACAGTCAGAGACAGGCGGAAGGGGCAGGCAGAGGACAGAAAGACACCAGGAGCTCTGAGCAGCAGCTCCCGGCCCTCAGAGGTCTCAGCACGACAGAGAAAAGCAAACAGCAGCCACACACCATCCTCACACCCACCACCCATACATGCCCAGGGGCCAGTCGTCGCCCAGTGTGTGGGATCTCTAGGGATCACACCCACTGATAGCCGTGTCCGACAGAGGTGGTCCAACAGAGGACAAAGGCCCTCCCAGCTGCACCCCAGGAGAGCCTGCAGGACCCCTACTGGCTCAAGATGGGGGAACACAGGGGCTAGTGCCTGGACACACCCCAGGCTGGCTGTGACGGGAAGGAGCTGACACCCAGCTCAGGACCTGCTGTGAGGCAGAGCACCTGTGCCTATGCGAGGCACCCATTCCCAGGGGAACAGAAGCACGAGGTGGTGATCAGCCAGTAGCTGATGTCCTATGTTCCCTAGGCCCAGGGAGGCCAGTCTACAGCCTTGTTCCTACACAGCAGCATCCCCAGTGGGGACAGGAGGTGGAGGAGGAAGAGCATACAGACTTCTTTTCTTGGCAGCCCGACGTGCTCTCCATGGCTGTGCTGAGGGCCCCAGCACCCTCCTCTCTGAGGTCTCAGCCCAGATGGGAGTGGACGCCCTGCTACACACTCCCAAGGGGCAGGCAGCCCTGGCAGGTAGCAGGGGCCATGGGACGAAACACTCGGCACCAGGAACAGCAGAGAAGGAAAATGCTAAACAGGAACCCCACAAGGCCCATGGGAGTGAGTCAAAGGCTCACCCGCCGCCCTCTCTGCAGCAGACCACCAGCAGCTTACAGAGCTCAGGGAAGGGACCATGCAAGGGAAGTCTGCCAGGCCACAGCAGCCCAGGACCAAGCAGACTAAGTAACTGAATTGGCCAGACAACAAAACATTGAAACCACTGAGCACTGAGCCCCCCAGCAACTGTGTGAGCCATGACTGCTGTGTCCTGCCTGGGCCTCCAGGGGCTGTGACCTCCTCTAGCTTCTTCTCCCCTAAAGTCTAGCATTCTCTGCTTGGCTTAGAGACAGGTCCTCTGTAAACACCTTCCTAGAAAATAGGTCATCAGCCTGGTGACCGCCAGGCAAGAACGGAGCTGCTATGGTACACACTCACACGTGCATGTGCACACACACAAACTCACATACAACCAGACATGCACTCTCTCACACTGGCACTCATACTCCCAGCAAACTCATCCCTGTGCCAGCATGCGCATTCAGCAGCGCAGATGTGCGGTCCCCACGGCTTTTCGGGCACTGTGATGGCAGTGCCAGCAGAAAGAGAGGGAGGCCAGCTACAGAGCAGGGCCCTGGATCGGCACTGGGAACGGGTGCAGTGGGCGTGGAGCTGAAGACAAAGCCGTCAGCTCTGGGATGGACTTAGCCTGGCCCAGATAGCCAGTTCCCAGCAGCAGAGAGCTCTTCTGTGCCCTCTCATGGTCATCCCGTGACCAGGCCATGGGCCAGACTTTCCTGTCTCCCTACCCCTATTGCTGACCTCTCTCAGTCCACTGAAGCTTTGGCCCTGGGCTGAGCACTCTGTCCCAACTATGAAGTCCCTACTGCCTCCAAATGTGCTTCTGCAACGTGCCTCGAGGCTCAGCTGAACCCTGGCATGACCAGACTCCCCACAGAAGCCTTGGCCCCGCCTTCACCTTTTCTCATCACAGACACTCCCCTTGACCTCTGTCCCAATACCAAAATCTCAAAGTCATTTTTGGAAACCGCATGAAGTCTCTTGGGCTGCTGAAGCACCACCTAGAATCTTTTGGCTCACAAAATTCATTTTTGAAAAGCCGTGTGTAAAATAGACATATGGATTCCTTACTCCTGACTCACAGGCTTTGCCCAGGAAGGGGCTCTGGAGCCACCCAAGACTGTCAAGGAGCAAATACCTACAGCAGAGCCAATCCCCCCCACGATGTGAAGGCAGCATGTTGCCACACCTTGCTCCTACTCAAACTGGGAGAAGCCGTGGAGGCTTTCCCAGGTGAGCCCTTTGCTCAAAGGCTCCTGCAGGAGAAGGGAGACATTCCCTCTGATCACAGCTCCTGGGGAGGACCTGTGTGCTAACAAGCTCCAGCCAAGGCAAGGGGCCCTCTGAGGAAGCCTCCCAAAGGAGTGCCCTGCTGAGGGCCCAGCCATGGGATGCTGTAGCAGCCCCACTGCCACCCCACAGTCTGTTCCCAAGAGCCTTACGCAGCAATGGAGATGTTCGCAGCAGACATGGGGCTGACTTCAGCCACTTCTTTGGCCTTTTGCAGAGCGAGCTTCTGATTGGCTGCTTCTTCCATCTCCTCTTCATCCTGTTTGAACAGACAGAAATGTGGAGCCAGCCTTCAGAGTGCTGCACTCACTCTGACACCATCAGCTATTCCTCTGGAGCCTCCAGGCCTTTCCTGCCCTCTGGACCTGGAGACAGGCAGCTGGCTCCTGCATCAGCACACCCACCCACGCTCCAGCACTGAGCATCAATTCCACATGAGCGCTCTGGTAGCCTTCAGAGAAGGGGCCCCCTTCTATGCCTGCTGCTCAAGGTGATGGTCCCCAAGGTTCCCGCCTCAACACCCTCTCCCCATGTGCCATGTCCTAGGGCACTCACCAGCTAATGACTCCACACCTACGCTGGCACCCTGATTGCTCTCCTGAGCTCCAGCCCCCAGGACCCCACTGCCTAGGCATTTCTGCATGTTTGTCCCACATCACTTGAGACTCATTCTGTCAAACCCATCCTGCCTCCCACCTCAGGAGTACCTGTCATACTTGAACGAAGTCAGCCTCTGCCCCAGAGCTGTGAGCAAGGACAAGGGGCAGGACCCTGCACCTGAGCCTGTGTCCTAGCCCAGCACTGCCCACAGAACCCATCACCAGGAGCACGTCCAGCAGGACCACCTCATGGCCTCTGAGCTTTTCCATCTAGACCCATCAGATCACATCTGTGATCTCTAACCTATCTCTAACTGTGGCTGAGAGGAGTCCCTCCCTGTTCCCCCCACACTTGACAGCCACGTGCAGTGCCTGGCCCTGTATTCACCACCTCTTCCTGGAAAGGACTCCCATGGCTTTGCCACCGGGGCTGGCGTGTGCTCATATGTGCACACATGTGTAGACACCCTACCCTGCTTTGCACCCTCCATAGGAAGAGGAGTGGACATCTGGACAGATCCCCTGGCTCTGACCCCACATCACTAGGCAAAACCAACATGCTCTGGATCTAGATAAATAGCTCCAAGTCGAGTCCATGGGCCCTGGGAGGGAAATGAAGGCTTCCATGTCGTCCAGCTACACCATGGGACCACCATTATTTGCTCCAAAACCCCAATCCCAGGCCCACCTGGCTTCTCTGGGAGATAGCATTCCCAACAGGTCCCAAAATATCCTTGAATCTGCTTTTAGAAGCACAATAATGGCAAAAACTAAGTCCCCTGTTAGCTGCTGCAGATTTCCCACCATAGAAAAGAGACTTTCAAGCTTTAGGTCTCAGAGAAGAGGCAAAGCCAGATCCACCATGAGACTCCCCTTTCAAGGTCCTTCCTCAAGCTGTAGACTCCACCCTGGTTACCGCTCTCGGGGGCAGAGGACGTCTCTAATCACTCCAAAGGGTGTTCTTCAAACAAACTCAATGAGTTTATTTCCACTTCAACAAATAAATGAGGCTACAATATATTTGTGTGAACATAAAGGAAGGAGAGTCAAGCCCCACCTTTGGGGCTCTTGGCCAGCTAAGGAAAGGCCCCATAGGCTGCCACAAACCTGCCCAACTTCCAAACAAGAGGGAATTCCTGAATTAGGGCAGTTAGGCCAAATGAGCCACCACTCAGGGTGTCTGTGCATGGAGACAGGGCTCCAAGGATGCTGCTTCCTCGGTGAGTCCTCACTGACAGCAGAAGCTGAAGAGACAGTGAAGGCTTCGAGCTCAAACTCACTCCTGCCCCAGGACAGCTGGTGCCCAGACCACTGCTGGGCACCCTCAGTTCACATAGGCCCAAAAATCCTGACACCAAGAAGTGCTCTGTGGTTCACAGGTGCCCCAGCCCAGGCAGTCCAGTTAGGAGCCCAGGCCCTTCTCCAGCCACTCCTGGACAGTGAGGCTCGGCCTCGGCCTGGGCTGACAACAGAAATAGGCAGGCCAGTGGGACTCCCAAGTCCTCAGAAGCCAGTGGCCAGAGCAACAGAGGAGTCTACACCCCCAGGGACCACCACAGGCCAGGCCTGGGGTTGGGGCAGGAGGAAGGCTGAGCAGAAGCAAGGAATGTATGCTGCGTGGGCCTGCCTCTACCCAGAGAGCTGGGGGCAGCAGGGGTCCCTGCACAGCACTCACTGTCAGAAGCACCATGGTGCACCTGCATCTCTGCTGCCAGCAGAGATGCCCTTGAACCTGCCTTCCTCAGAGAAGGCCCGAGTCAAGCTCAGCCCCAGAAGGGTGACGGGGTTGCAAGTCTTGGGATATGCTAGACTGGAGCAGACTGGACTGTGTCAGATATGCACAGAGATGTGCATAGGTACAAGCACAGGCAAGCATCTGTCAGGGATGGTGGGCACGAGTCCACAGACGCACACTTGAAGGTGCACATGCAGGCACATGCCCAGCGTACAGAGCAAGCACAGGGTGTCTGCAACGGGGGCAGCACCTTCTCCCAGATGGCCTCACCAGGAGGCAGTGCCCTCCTGCTAGGAGCCGGGGCTCATCAAAGCCCAGGCCTGAGGCTGAAACAGCGGGCAGCCCAGCCACACTATGCAGGGCCATGAGGGTGAAGGCGACCAAGTAGGGGGCTTTGTCATCTGGAGGGAAACCACAGGGGAAGATGTGTGTAATCACATCCCCCACCAGGTTCAGCGACGAGAGATGAATATTAGATGACACCCACTGGGCACAGCCTAGAGAATGAGCTGCCCTGCTGTGGCACAGATGTGCTGAGAGGGGGCACCAGCCAGGCCCAGCATCTGAGGACAGCACCACCCAGTGACCACCTGAGCTCACCATCCACACCTGAGACTGACCACAGGGGCCCCTCGCCACCTGGAGGTGAGCACAGGGGCCCTCACAGCCCTTTAGGCTCTTCAGAGCTGCACTTTCCCTAGAACCCACCTCATGCATCCCTCTCCCTTCTGAGGGGACACCTCCCCTCACCTCACTCAGCCACAGTGATTGGTGCATCTCATAGCCCCTCACTCTGAGGCCAGGATAGCCTACCCCAACTTCTCAGGGCTCTCTCTGGGCTGCATCTCCTGTCAGCCACCTCCAGCTCCCCATATCTCCTCCTGCCTTTCTAGCCATTCCTCCCAGATCTCGGCTTCTCCAGGAGCTGTCCTTGCAGTCATCTCCCCCCTAGCACATGTCTACATGCTTCCTCAGCGCCATTCCCCTACACCCCTGAGTGACAGCCTAACTTTTGCCTGTCCAGTACCCTGAAGAGACTACCCTGGACAGCAGTCACACAGGTCCTTAACCCAGGACCTGGACCAGCTTGTGGCTCTCCATTCTCATCGAGAGCAACAGGGACTGATCCCTCGCCCCTCCCTGCACTAGGTTGCAGGTGGCATCCCTACTTACATACCTTGGTCAGCTCCTGGGCATTGGCAAGGTTGTCCACAGCGATGGCCAGGAAGACATTCAGCAGGGTGTCTAGTTGGCTCCAGCTAAGGAAGAGAACGCTTCTGCCCCCACTCCCTCCCACATGGTCATACCACAGCTTCCCTCATGGAAAATAGGGGCCCCCATTTCCCCAGATCTTGACCAGCCTTCAGCCTCCTTCCCTTAGCATCCACAGCCCCCTTAAGTCCCCTGACCCTTTAGGCCCCTGTCAAGCCCAGACGCAGTCCAGCCCAGCTACCAGGGCTCTGTGGCCCCCTGGTCTCTGCCCAGCCCTCCTTCACTCTGGCTCATCTCACTCAACCTCCCCTGATACCCACAAGGACCCCCTTCCCCTAGCCCAGCTCTTCAGAGCTGACTTCCAGGGCCAGAACTCAGAGTCTGTAGTGGATTAGTTCACCTCTGCCACCTGGGAGGTCACATGGACTGTCTACTTCTGTCCCCACCTCTCCCTGATTTCTGGCCAGCACAAGAAGCCTCCTCCAACACCTCCTGCTTTCATGGGTGCCACATGGGGCTCCACCACCTTTGGCTGAGCAGAGACCACCTAAGACACACCACAAACATGCAAACTCACACATGACCAGCACCTCCTGGGCTTCAGGTCCTAGGTTCAAGGAGCCTGCATGGCTTTTTCTCCTGTCCTTTTCCAGAGTGAAGCCCTGGACCCTCTCCCTCAAGGTGCAGAGCAGCAGGAACAACATCTGAGCTGTGCTGATGGCAGACAGCACTGAGTGTGCAGAAGCAGGACCCCCTGGACCACCTCATCCCACTGAGCACCCCCAGGAGCCCCCTGACGAAGCGCTACTACGACCTCTTAGAAATGAGGTGACAAAGGCCACAGAGGATAAGTAACTTGCCCAGGGTTCCAGAGGCAGAAGGGCCTGTGGTGAGCTGTTCCTCCCTGCCCCGCCCTCTCGCACCTCTCCAGGATCAGGCCCTCATGCTGCGCTGACCTGAGTCACTTCCATGTTCCGGCTGCTGGAGCACGGCTTCCCGCAAACTCATCTCAGTGCTGAGCAGGACTGTCTTCCCTGTGCTCCCCAGAGCAGTGCCTCCCCAGAACCATCCCTCCCCAGCCCTCCTGCCGTGCCTCAGCACTGTGCCTGCAGACCCAGGCCCTCTCCAGGCCTCTGTGGTTTCCCTCCTAAGTTATCTCATTTCTTGGCACGGCAGACATTTTGGATCAGGCAATCCTTTGCTGCGGGATGTTGAGCAGCATCCCTGGCTCTGCCCACTTGATGCCAGCAGGACCTTCCCCCTCAGGCACGACAACCAGACTGTCTCAGACACTGCCAATGTCCTCTGGGGGCCCAGTTGTCCCGTTAGAGCCCTGCGCTCCATGTGACTGAGCCCTTTCACCACAGGCCTGGGGACTCAGCTCCTGCAGGTTGCAGCCATCCTCCCAGGAGCTCTGGGTCTGTGTGAGTGAGGCTCGAGAGCCTCTGCGTCTGTGTGAGGCTCGGGGCAGCCACATCCCAGAGCTCCGCTTCGCAGGCAGGCCTGCTCAGGGCTCCAGCCACACTCACAGGACACAACGCTGGGGCCGGACCACCACCTCCTGGCACTAACCACAGCCACGGACACCCTCAGAGGCCTTGCCACACTCAAAGGACAGAACTAAGGCCACACCCCTCAGGGCCTAGCCAGAGGGACAAACAATGCAGCAAGAGTGACTCTGATTGGACAGGACAAGGAGGCCTGAAGGCTGACACACCTAGCCTGAGTACACAGGGTCAGAAGCAGCTGTGGTGCACATGGGACACTGCTTCATTTCAGGGCAGGGGCACCTCCTTCTGGACAGCAGCTGCTCCTCCCGTTCCCCACCCGCCCCACCTCCCCCACACCCCCTAACCCCCCTACCCCCATTTGAGGCCAACACTGCAGGCTTCTTCCCTCTCTGACAACCAGGCTGCCACTTCCTGGTTTTCTCACACAACAGCCCCCAGGTCTCACCTATCTGGTAAGCACATCAAACAAACACTGCCCCCTCAAGGTCCCTGGCTCCCCCTTCCTGGGCCTCATGCTCAGCTCCCCTCATGCTCAGCTGAACCCCATCCTGGGGTCCCGGACCTCAGCTGTGACGTTACACAGGGCTGAGAGATGATGCAGTGCCTGCTGAGGGCTGTAGTAGGAGAGACAGGCAGATAGAAGCAAAGAGAAACAGGCCTGGAGTGCTACAGGTCACAGACTGGCGTGAGAACCAGCGAAGCAGGCAGAGACAAAGAGGGACAGACAGAGCCAAGTGGCCAGTTGTGCGAGGAGGGAGATAAGGAAGAGCTGGTAGGTCAGCCTGGGAGAAGAAAACTCAGTTCCTCTCCAGCTCAGATCTCTCCTCCAGGCTCTACAGGATGTTCTCCAGCAGCAGTTCTCAAAGTGGGGTCCCCAGGCCAGCAGCACCAGCACCAGCACCCCCGGGAGCCTGTTAGAATGCACATTCGTGGGCTGGAATCTGGGCTTTGACAGCCCTCAGGGGACTTGACTCTAATGCGTGGATGAGTTGAGAACCTGAGACGCCCCTCCTCGGCCTGAATTTCCCACCCCAGCAATGGGGCCACATTCACATCTTCCTGGCCTGGCCCCCACCCCACCTGCATCCTGAGCCCTGCAGTCTCCCTTCCCCACATGGCCTGCCTGAGGCAGAGCCGCCACTGCTGCTGAGCTTGCCCTGACCCTGCAGAGACCCCCTTCCACATAAGGTCCTGAAACACAAGCCTAACTGGCATCCTCCACAGAAAACTCTCCTTTGATTTCTCTGCAGGAACCATGTTTTCAGCAGGGGAGGTACCAAAACTTAATTATTGAATTAAAGTGGAAAAAAACCCAACAACCTGCTGTCCTCAATGTTTAAAGCCCTCATCTTCCCAGAGTCCACCTTGAACCCCCCTCTGACGGCTCCATGGGCAACTCATGCCTCTATCAACCTGAGCCCCCACAGCCTCTGGATCCCCCAAGCACAGGTGGCCTCGAGAATGTTTGCCATCTGGACTCCTCAGGCCATCTCCTCTGAGGGAGGAGTTGCACAGTGCACACCTCATGAGAAGACGCCCCTCATATTTAGGACCAACGTGCCCCCCATCCCCCGAGGGGAAAAAGAGAGAGAGGCAGGCCCAGGCCAAGCACTCTCCCCTGTACCCAGCCCCATAGAAGGATACAATTTCCAAACAGCGTCAGGACGATGAAGTAGAAGGACGAGAACATGCCTTTGCTAACTCCGCCCTGCGACTCAATCCCATGATACATCACTGCATTCCAGTCCTCTCCGGTCAGGATCTGCAGAGGAGAGCAGTGCAGGGCACGCTGGCATGGCCATCTCCATCCACACACACCCGCCCCTACACATGCACATACACCTGCTTGCTCGGGGTCTAGACACAGCTGCATCCCAAGAGCCCGTGGGCACATGCATGCACGCACACACACAAACATGTTTTTAGAGGATGGTGCTGCTGGAAGTAAGGTGGCCCAGGGTCCTCCAGAAAAAGTTCCAGAAGGTCATGGTTACTGAGCTGGGTCAGGCCTTAGCAGATGAATATGCTCTAGATTTTCAGCCAACAATGGAAAGGGAGCTCCAAGCAGGAGAAAAAGGTGAACAAGGAGGAGAACCACAGCAACGAGCTAGAGAAAGGAAGCAGGGCGGGGAAGCAGAGCTTCCCCGACTCCCCGAGCTGCCTAGGTCACTGGTTCACAGTTGAGGAGACTAGGTTCAGAGAGGGGCCATGAGCTGCTCAAGGCCAGACAATACCGGCAGGCCCTCTGACCCTCCAGGTTCCTGTACCGTTGGCCAGTTGTGCAGGCTATGAGGGCTGCTAAATGCCGCCCTTGCCCCATCAGGAGACACAGGTCTCGCTTTGCCACGTGTATTTGTGGGAAAGCGCAAGAGGATAAAATAACAGACATTCCTGTGTCCGCCACTTATGAAAATCGCTAACATTTTGTCACATTTGTACCAGGTCCCCTGGCAGAGATCACTCCTGAAAGGCAACCCCAATCATGGATCCGGCGAGGGTCCGTGTCTTTTTAGTTCCATACCACGAGACACACATGTGTCTATGAACAAATACACCATGTGTGTTTTAAACGTGCACGAGAAGGAATCTGACTACATATATCATTCTTCAACTTGCTATTTTCATTCACTATTATATCTTTGAAGTTTATTCATGTTAACACATATAAATCCACTTATTCATGCAAACCATTGCATAGTGTTCCTCCAAGTTATTTATCTATTTTCCTCCTGATAGGTACTTCAGTGGTTTCCAGGTTTTTGCTATTATGTCTCATTGTGCACACATGAAAAAATTGTTTAGAACTGGAATTGCTGGATAGTAGGTTATGCACATCTCTGACTTGACTAGATGTTTCCAAAGCAGTTATCCCAAATTAAATTCCTGCAAGCAGTATAGGTTGCTTTTTCCACCTATCTTCACAACATCCTTGGCATTGTCACATCCTTGGATAGCTGCCCATCTGATGGGCCGAAAGGGCAAGCTGGTGAGGTTGGACGTCTTCTCATGTGGCCAGTGGACATTCAGACCTCCTCTTCTGTGGCCTGCCCTTCCAGCTCTTTGGCTCATATTTCTGCTGACTCCCTTTTTTCTTACTGACCTGTGAGACTTCCCATGTGTTCTCAGATACACCAATCCTCCATCTGCAATGTTTAGTGGGAATGTCTGCTTCTAGTCTCCTCTTTGCTTTAAGTTATTCTTGTAATATAAAAAAGTTTAATGTAGTCAGATGTATCAGTCTTTTCCTTTTTTCTTCTTTTTGCACCTTGTTTAAGAAATTCCTCTCCATCCCAAGGTCATAAAGATATTTTCCCATATGTTCTTCAAATTATTTTAAAGTTTCGTTTTTCACATTTAGGTTTCTAACCCAACTGGAGTTTGTGGGTGCTGTTGTGTGTGCATGGGGATGAAGATCTACTTTTTCCCATATGGAAGATCAATTTCCCAGACCAATTTTCTGACTATCCCCTCCTCCCCATTGATTTATATGCCATCTTTCTCACAAAACCAACTTCCTACATAGGCTTGGCCATGTTTCTGGGCTCTCTAGTCTGTTCTTTAGATATTTTGACTTTATATCTCACAATTTCATTACTGTAGCTTTATAAAAAGTCTTAATATATGGTGGGGAAATCCCTCCTTCCTGGATTATCTTTGCTATCCTTGGACATTTACTCTTCCACATAATCAAGATGCTAATTCCAAGAGCAGTCTTGTTGGAATTTGGATCAGGACTACATTGAATTTGTATATTAAATTAGGGGGAACTGATACCTTTACTATATTAAGGCTTCCCATCTATAAATATATCTATCCATGTATTCCGTTCTTTAGGTCCTTTAATAACAATTTATAATTTCACTCATGAAAGTCTTGCATGCTTTTTGTAGATTTCTGGGTACCTTGCAGTTTTTGTTACTACTGTGAATGAAATCTTTCATTTTAATTCGAATGATGTTGTTATATAGAAAAGTCGTATTTTTGTACGTTGATCTTGTGTTCAGCAACATTGGTGAATTCTCTTATTATCTCTTGGATTTTCTTTGTAAACAATCACATCATTTTCAAATAATAGCAATCTTGTCTATCCATTTCCAGTCCTTCCACTTCTTTCTTTTTCTTATCTTATTACACTGTCTTCACCTGTCTGAATACTAGGCATCCTTGTTTTTCCTTCAATATAATTCTTTCAATCTGTATTAGTCTGGGTTCTCCAGAGAAACAGAACCAATAGGAGATATATACAAGTAATTGGATCATGTGGTGACGGAGGCCTAGAAGTCCCAAGATCCACAGTCCACAAGCAGAGATGATAGTATAAGTTTCAGTCCAAGTCCAAAGCCAAGAGAGGAGACTAATCTCCCAGCTCAGAGACAGGCAGAGAGAGCCAATTCTCCCCTACTCAGCCTTTTGTTCTGTTCAGGCCTTCAGCGGATTGGATGAGGCGTCCCACATTGGGGAGAACAATCTGCTCTACTCAGTCTACCAATTCAAATGCTAACCTCATCTGGAAACACCCTCACAGACACGTTTAATCTAGGCACCCTGTGGTCCAGTCAGCTGACACACAAAGTTAACCATCATACAATCTTTCGCCTGCTATGCTTGCTGTGGTCTTTTTAAAGTAAAGCTTTGATTGAGATATAATTCAGTCTTTAAAGTGTGTCATCCAGTGGTTTTTAGTATATTCACAGGTATGTGCAACCATTACCACAGCCAATTTTAGAATATTTTCATCCCATCAAAAAAGAAACCCACTAGCTATCGGCCCCCTAGCTGTGGGGGTTTTTTTTAAGTCCTATCAATTCTTAGTATATGATGTTTTTTATCATCACATCAATGTTTTATCTTTCTACATCTATTGACATGTTTATTTTTCTCTTTTAACCTGTAGAGATAGGGAAATCACACTGACAAATTCTTGCGTTACTGGGATAAACAAAGTTTAGCTATGAGGTTCTATTTTATACACAGTAGGACTTGATTTCTGAATATTTCATTTCAGATCGTTTGCATCGACCTTCACTGAGCAAACATTTAGTGTGCCTGCTCTGTCAGGCAATATGCAGGTGCTTAGGATTGTGAGTGGACAAAACAAAGACCCTGCCTCATGGAGCTCACATTCTGGGGAACAGCACCCTGAATCTGGTGTTTATCATTCCCAGGCAAGCTTTTACACTTTTACTGTATATATGCCATAATCGATATTGTTTTGTAGGTTTTCATCCTTGAATAAATTTTATCACATGCTATATATTACTCCAAATCTTTTTTTTCCTCAACATTATGTTTGCGAGATTCATTCATGTTAACATATTTAAGTCTAAGTCCTTCATTTTCCCTGCTGTACAGACATAACACACTTTGTTATCCCTTCTCCTGATGATGAACATTCAGGTGACTTCCAGTTTTTTGCCGTTACAAATAATGCTGCTGTGATGGTCTCACATGTCTCTTGTGCAAATGAGCAAGAACTTCCAGAGCACACAGCTACAATAGGAACTGCTTACACACAAGTTCCAGTTCTCATCCAGTGGACTAGATATTATGAAATTGCTCTCCAAAGTGGTTCTACCAACCCACCAACAGCACAAGGGAATCCTCATTTCTCCACATCTTCTCGAAAACTTGATATTGTTAGATTTAATTTCAGCTAAACTGACAGGAGAAAAGTTTGTCTCATTGTGGGTTTAATTTGCATTTCCCTGACTACTAGTAAAGCTGATAATAGTTTTTACAAGTTTATTCATCAGCCTAATTTCCTCACCCATAGTTACCCATTATACCCTTTGCCCCTTCCTACTACGTTATTCGTCTCTTCTTATTGATTTGTGGAAGTTCTTGATATATTCTGGACAATGATCCTTTGTGGGTTATTTGCTGACACTAAGGAAAATGTCTTCTCACAGTCTATGACCTCTTGGGGTTTTTTTTTTTTTTACCCTTTTATGTTGTCTTTTGAGGCACAGAAATTTTTATTTTAATAGATTAGTCAATCATGTCATTTATGACCGTTCCTTTTCTCCTCTTCAAGAAGGCCTTCCTTGCCCTGAGTTAATAACATCACACTCCTGTACTCCTGTATGCTCTTCCAAAATTTCAGATTTGCTTTTCACATTTAGATCTTCATCCATCTGAACTGATTTTCAAATCTGGTACAAGGTAGACATCCAATTTCATGTTTTTCTCTATGGATAAGCAAATTGTTTCCCACTGTCTGAAATGACACCACTTGAGTTTTCTGTATATACAAATATTTCATCTGTAATTGATGACATTTTTCTTTCTTCCTTGTCAATCCTGAGAAATTTTATTCCATTTTTCTTGTTCTACTGCACGAAGACCACCGATAGCAGCATAATCTGCTAAGAGTTCTTATTTGGAAGGAGTTTTGGGTTTTATCATGTGATTTTTTTTTGAAAAAACACTTATTATGGACATTTTCAAACATACACAAGGTAGAGAGTGTAATGAATCCCTACATACTCATCACCCAGCCTTGATGATGCACACAACCTGCCGATCTTGCTTCGTTGGACCTCTCACTCACTTGGTGGTTGTGTTTTCGCTATAGTTCAAATGCTTTTTCTTTCTTTAATCTGTTAAAATGATGAATTACATTAACAGACTTTCTAATGTTAAATCATCTTGCATTGCTAGGATGAATTCAAGTTGATCATAAAAGTCATTTTTAAGCATATGCCGATCTAATAAGTTATTTCCCACAGGATGGTTTTGTCTCTGTGTTTTTGATGCTGATCTATGTTTTTCTTTTCTTACACTGTCCTTGTCTAGTTTTTTCATATCAAGGTTATTTTATTCTAGCCTCATAAAATGAGAGGGGTGCTTTCCTTTTCATCTTCTCTGGAGTGGTCTATATAAAATTGTCACAACTTCTTTCTTAAACATTTCCTAGTGTTCACTTGTAAAACTAACTAGATGAGGTGGCTTGGGTAAGTAGACTTTTAATTATTCAATCTCTGAAATAGTTCAGGTTTCCTGTTTCTTCTTGGGTTAGCTTAATGTACTTTTTTCCTCCTAAATCATCCGCCTTACCAGATGTATAACGTGGTACTCTCAGCACTGGGGGGCGGGGGTGGTAGAGCCCCGTATCTGTGTGCAAACGTGTCTTTAGTTCACCTCACGCTGGACTCACAGCTCTCAGGACCAGAGTTCCAGGCTAACAGGGACTGTCCTCCAATATTTTAAAGTTACTTTCCCAGACCTTCTGGCATCATTGTTCACAAGAGGCTTGCCATCAGACTGTCATTCTTTTGTGGGAAATCTGTCTTTCTAGAGTAGTTTTTAAGATTTTCTCTTTATCACAATGTGTCTAGGTCTGGAATTGCTTTTGTTCATCCTGCTTGGCCCTCGGAGTACACACTTGCTAAGACTGGTTCCGAAACAACGTTGGCATCATTTTGCTCACACCAGATGTCTGCGCTTCATCTCCCTGCCGCAGCTGCTCTGCTCCTCCACATCTCCCAGCTCACCTCTTCTCTCTTGGATCATGTCCAGTGTACAGCACACCCTTTATTTTTTTTATTTAAATAGCTATATTTTTCATTTCTAGGATTTCTACTTAGTTCTTTTTCATGTTAACCTATTCTTGGTTCTTAGGTGTCTTTCTTTTGTAATTTTATGTTATATGCTATGAGTTCTTCCTTTAACCCTTTGAAGATATTAAGCACATTGAGTTTAAGGTGACCTGTATTTGTTCTGTTATTTCTGTTTCTTTAGGACTGAGCTCACCTTCCCACTGTGGGTGTTTATCCCTCTCTTCTTTGGGCTCAGCTTTCACCACAGTTTAGTCTACAGAGTCACCATGAGCAAAGTTGAAGTTGTTTTCTGCAGCCCCATTCAGAAACAGGGGCTCCCACCCTGGGGTGTCAGGTCCTCAGTTTAGCAGTACCCTGTGAGAGCTACAGACCTGGCCTGCCCAATGTCTGCCATCTTCTGAGCTGCCTCTAGCCATAATCAGCTCTCTCTCAGCTCTCCTCAGCCTCCTTAAAGGGCCAGACACTTCTCCCAGAGCTGAGTCACTGAGGCACACATGGACGTTTCTGACGCCCAGTGCGGAGGGTCTCTGCGTCCCTTACCACTGTGCCATTTCTAGCCCACAGAGATTGTTTTCTGCTTGGCTAGGTCCTTTTACTTTCTAAATGTATTTATTATCTTATTGCTGTGTTCAGAGCAGAGGGAGTATGAGGTCTAAATGAGAGCATCATCTTCTCAGAAGAACCCATCTTTCTCTCCTGACTTTGACCTCTTCTTCCACTCTGGTTCCCACACCACCACCACTAACCATGTTCAGGTCCTTTCTTGTAACAAACACAACAGTGCAGGGCTCTACTGTCAATCACGTGACCTCCCTGCTTTGGAAACTCTACAACAGCTCCCACTGGACCAAAGGCGCATGCTTGGCATTCAAGGCCATCCGTCCTGGCCCCCCCCCCCCACCACAGCTCCCAATGCCTTCTGTTACAAACCGTCACAAATTGTGTGCTCTTGCCACCCCAGACTCTGCTCCCCTCCTCACTGCTTTGTCCAGAATGCACTCCGGCCCATCCCTTTGCCTGACATTCAAGACAGCACAGACAGAGGGAGTTCCTCCCGTCACCGAGCAGACACACTACTCAGGAGATGTGGCCACCCTCTGCTGGAAGTCCTGGCTTGGAGACCAGTTATCTTTGTCCCCAAAGGCACAGATCCTCTTACCCACTAAGTGCTCAAAAACCTTTAGGAGACCCAGTTTTGGAAGGCACCAGCCTGTGAGGGAGCCAAGGCTTTCAGCGTATCAGTCAGAGAAGATGAGAACAGCAGTGAGCTGACAAGCATCCCCACACTTAGGAAATCAGAGCAAGGGAGAAGTCACAGAGTGACTCAAACTTGAGGTCAGAGAGGAAGCGGGGATGAGAACAGCACAAGGTCCTGATGGCCAGGAGCAGAAGTGCCTCTGGGAGAAGAGCTCACTCTGCTTTGCTGTCACTGAGGGCTGAGGGGCTGTAGGGTTCCAACCCAGGACGAGAGACGGAGATAGTCGTGGGGGCCATGTGGTGCGGCCCAGATAGTTGTGGGGGGCTTGTGATGCAGACCAGACAGTCGTGGGTGGTGTGTGGTGCAGACCATTGGGACTGAATTACTCCTTTGTAGTCATCTGGTTTAGTTTGAATGGTCTGTGAAGAGACTCCCTTCCTTTGAGAGAGTGGGACCAAAAGGATCCCCCTCCTTACACCTTACACACGTTGTGAGCTCCAGGTTTGGCCAGGGGTAGCGTCAGCAGTCCCAGAGGCCATGGCGCCAAGCTGAGGCCTGAGCACATGCAGCCTGTTGGGCTCCATCATGGGCGAAATGACAACGCACCCCAGTCTGCTCCTCTCAGACGTGCATCCCAGGGGGTCTCATAGGACAGAAACGTTTGGCAGGATCACGTCGGTGAGGCCAGCCATGGGCAGCAATGGGGGCCGTAGCCCTGTGAGGGGAAGTGCTCACACAAGAGGGCCCTCAAAAGGGCCCCCCAAGAGGGCAGAGTCCTTGAGCTGCAAGGGTTGCAGCATACAGGACTCGAGCCGATAGCCTCCCCCCCAAGCAGCAGCGGGGGCCCGTTTTCCAGACACAAAAGAGAACTGAGGGGCTGCTGGGGCCCGAGACACTAGAGGGAGAGGTCTAGGGAGAGCTCTGTTGTTTTATCCTCAAAGGTTAAAAGACAGACATGACTCGAGGTCTAGGGGCTGAGAGATAAATTTTGCAGCTTGAAGCCCAGTGGCTGCTGGCCAGCTGAGCTCCCCAGGGAGCTACCCTTGCTCCTTGGATGGCACCACAGCATCGGGCTTCACTCCTGGCCCAGACTTGCAGGCAGGATCCCAGGAACGGGAGGTCCACACTGTGGAGACCATCTATGCTTGTCTCCTACTTGCTCTCTTCTGTTTTGTGGAAAGTTCTGTCCAAGATGTTGGCTGTCTGGGTTGTGCTGAGGCACTCAGGAGGGGCTGACAGGGAAGGCTACCTTCCCAGCACCTGGGAGAGCTGAGCAGGCCAGGAGCATGTCAAGAGCCAAGAGCCTTACCTGGAAGACAGTGAGGATGGCAGCGGGAAAGGTGTCAAAGTTGGTCGTTGGAGTCTCATCTTCAAAGTTGAACCTGAGAAAAATAAAAAATTTTAGGAAGAGGCAGCTCCATCAGGAGCCCAGAGGACCTGGCACCTCGTAACACTGCTTGTTACAGGCTGCAAAAGTGGGCTGCATTCTCAGTGTCACCAGCCTTCTTCAAGGACCTTCAGGGAGGGAAAGCAGGTGGAGGAGGCCTGGGGCAGCACTGTCTGCTCTGAGCTCTGCCTCCCCTGCCGGCCTCCCCAACCTTATACTCCCCACTCCTCGGCCTACTTACTGTCCCCCAAACAGCTGCATGCCCAGCAGAGCAAAGACCACGATGAACAGGAAGAGCAGGAAGAGGAGGCTGATGATAGATTTCATGGAGTTGAGCAGAGACACCACCAAGTTCCGCAAGGAGTTCCAGTACCTGTTGGGGCAGACAGGATCTGATCCTAGCCCTGGGTCGCTCCCAACCAGGGCATGCCAGCTCCGGATGCTGACTTCACACTCGTCCCGACTCTCTGCAGTCATACCCGTGGCTTCTGGGACCTTCTGAATCCTGAGGCCCCCACACCTAAATGTGAAGCTACCACATATCCTGGACTTCTCCACCTAATAGCCCCTGGGCATGGCAGACGATGTGTCTGGTGCTGGGCACCCACATCTCCCAAACCTGCACCCCTGTCACTCTCCTCAGCAGAATAGTGCATGTCCCCTCAGGCAGCTGCGCCTGACCCCAGACTTGACCCTTGGCCTTTCCTCGCCTTCACCTCTCAGCACCCAAACAGCCTCCAAGTGCCTCAGGCCAGAGCGCTGTGAAGTGAGGACCACGAGTGTTTGTCACAAGCCCACTATAGAAGGAGCCACACAAAAACAAAAATCAACACCACTGCCTAAAGTGTGGTCTCCCACACGGAGAGCCTGGGGAGTGGTGCACAGGGAAGGGTGGTGTGAACCTTGGTGCAAGTGCCCCTCTCACCAAGGACCAGGGACACTCCGCGTGGAGTGTGTGTGGAGCAGCACCGTGACAGTCTATTTCCCTGGTATCCCACAACGCCCTCCCCCTCCATCCCACCACTCAAAGGCTCCTAGAGGTCAGAGACTGTGTTGTTCTCACTCAACTGAACTGCCCACAGCCCAGCTGCTGACAGCTCACCAAGTGACTGGTGCCCTCAAGTGCTACCCTGTCTCTAGAAAGCTCTTCCCCAAGAGAGCCAGAGCATACTGCTTCCCCTCCAGGCCCTGGAATCAGTCCCAGCCCCCAGGAGACACACCACATGCCTCTGTGCCTTTGCACGTGCTGTTTCGTGACCTGGAATGGGGAGGAGGCAGGACAGACGGCAGTGTCCCTGTGCTTACCCTACCATGGGGCATCTCTGGGCCCTGAAATTGTGCCCTTCTCCCTGTCCTGGTGTCACAGAGGCCCACCTATCCTCCGTGGGTTCTCTCAAGAAGTGTGCCAGGGCTAATGGAAGATGGGCTGGAAGACTCTGGAAAAGCCTCCTCCCAGGACAGGAAGTGGTCTATGCCAGCCCACCTCAGGACAGGGCCACCTGCTCTCTGGGAGGAAACAGAGCCCCAAGACACCAGGCGCCACAACCAAGGTGACGGCAGCCCTCCGGTCACTTTCTAGAGGCCCTCTCAGCAGCATCTCACACAAAAGCAACAGAGGACCAGGGCATGCTGCACAAAATGCCCAGCAATGTTTGTGGACAAGCTGAGCCAAATTCCTGCCAAAAACTTCTGCAGTTACACTTTTGTGTCCTCAAATGGTCTCAGGTTTGGATTTAAAATGAATCAGAAAAGACCAAGAGAACTTCAATCTATCCTGGGAAGATCAGTGGGGTTCTGAGAGGCTATCTTGGTCACTGGAGGGGTGACCTAGAGCCTGGGGTCTCCTACACAGGCTCAGTGCTGACAGCTCTGCTCCTTGGGTCCTGCAGTGCTGTGATCCAGGCTGCCAGGGACGCTGCACAGAGACCAGTGTTGGAATGTGTGTGGGCTCCAGACTCCAGCTGCTCATGGTACAGGAGCCTCAGAAACTCAGGACAGGTGAGCCGACAGCAGCCTGGGATCCCTGCCATGGTCTCTGGCCACAGCTAAGACCAGCTGAGTGCAGAGCAGCCTTTGCTGTTGATGAGACTGTCACAGATGAGGGTGTTCTTCCTCTCCTTCACTACAACTCTGGCAGCAAGGGGGAGAGACTTCTGTCCCAGCTCTCCTCTCACTGCCCTGGGCCTTAGCCTCCTTGTAGGCAAAATGGAGCGACTCGCTTCCAGGGTTATGTAAAGAATCAAGTGGGATAAAACTGAAGACATGGTCATGTGGCTGTCATTTCACCAAGGTTCAGACATGGCAGGGTCTGGCACAGGGTGGAGAAAGCAAGTCTGGGAATGGGAGCTGGCAGGCGCCAGGCTGGCTCAGGTCACAAGGTCAGCGCCATCTCAGGCCAGGACAGCTGAGGCCTCCCTCCCTCTCCAGGGGCGGGGCTGCAGGGTGGGTGGGCAGACAACATTCACGTGATAACTTCTATTTTCTCTATTAACTTTGAAGCAAAATCGCCCTTTGAAAGCTGACAGACGGGATTGCTGGTTTCAAGAGAGGGGATGGTATGAAATTATGCATTATGAAGCTAACAAAAGAACTAGAAATCCTGCTGGCAGCATTGAAGTGGTCAGGAATGACCTTGAGGATGGACCTAGCCCCCAACTAGGCCAAGATGAAGTTGTGCTGAGCTGGTGCCCTAGCACCGGGTGCTTAATAACTGTTTTTTGTATTTAAACTAATTATAAGCCACAAAAAGATTGCAGACGGCTGAGTTGAAGACTGGCACCACGAATTCCTAGGAACAAGAATGCTGTGCTGTCCAATCTCACACATTGCCTGCACCCCCCCAACTCCCCCTCACCCAGGAGCACACAGATGACATACTTTGTGACTTTGAAGATCCTCAGCAACCGGAGTGCCCGCAGCACGCTGATCCCAAATGAGGTTCCTGGCTTTATGGCAGCCCAGACCACTTCAAAGATGCTCCCCACAATGACCTGCAATGGAGATGGGTCAGCCTCAGGTGCTCACACACTCACGCTGCATGTGCATATCTGTGTGGCTGCCTCTCTCGGTAAGCATCCACTCTGACTCTCCCATCTGCAGCTCCAGCCAGATAGGATGATACAAGGCACGCGCCTTGCCCTGAGCTCCTGAGCCTTCAGGGGCTGCAGACACCACCAGTGCCACTGCCCATCCCCCCCTGCCCCAGACACACTAGAAAGACGTGTAGAGTGAGATTAGGCCTGCTGGTTTCCTGTCAGATCTTAAAGCAGCCTTGGCCAATGCTTCCTTGTGCTTTGTCACAGCCAGGTGACCCCAGCAACTTCTCAAACACCTCTGGGGCGAAGCAAAGCATTTCAGACAGCCTCAACTATTAGACTGCTTTCTCACAGAACACAGAATCTGCTTCCTTTTAACTTCCTCCCCCTGATCCTGCCACTGCTCTTAGATGTTCAGATTCACAAATTGCATCTTGACTCTTGTCTTCTCCCAATGACCAGGAGCCAGGATGTGCTACCAAGAACAGACTGTGGCAAGGCTGCCCCTTTGTTTCACTGACAGGGTTATCTCAGGCACTGCCCATGTTGGTGGACTAAGACTTGCGAGCAAGTGGCATGCCCCTCCTGCTAGATGTTCCTCAGATAGGCTCTGAGGCAGGGCATCTTGATTAGTGTCTGGTGTGAGGGACTCATAAAGGACAGAGCAGTGAAGGTGGAATACAGCAGACCCCTCACCATCTTTCCTCTGGACAGGACACCCAACAGGGCCCAAATTCCCTCCCAGGCCACCACATCTCATGGGGCACACCCTGGGCTTATAGTCAGCATGAGTGCCCATGTCCTCTTATGTGTGTGGCTAATTCTCATTTCCTCTAACCCAACTTCTGCAATTGGTGTGGGAAACTCAAATGTCAAGTATTAATTGCTTAAATTCCATTTTACTGCAGTTAGCTCAATCATTATCCAAGGTTTCAGTCATTTCCTGATCAGCTTAACATGAACATTCTCACCAAGAAAATGGTGAATTTGCCGGGACAAAGGTCTTGGTACATCACTGGAGACTCTCCTACAGTTAATATTGGCCCATTAAGCTGCAGGTCTGGTTTGGCGGTTGCACCAGTTATGAGTCACCCCAAACGCACAGCCATCTGCTGCACATTTCTCCACCTTGAACACAAAGACATCATTCAGGGAATATCGGATGTCCTGCTGATGTCTAGATATACCAATTGCTGCAGTACCTGTTATAACCCTTGCAGTACAACAAATGGGACAAGCTTGCCACAATCTGTTCTGGGGGACCCTGACCACCACCACCAATTTTTCTCAGCACTCACAGAGCACCCAGATGTTTGCCCAGGGCTGAAGACTGTAGTTTTCTAAAGCTACTTTCTTCTCCTTATCAGTCTGCCAGCATCTCTCCTATTTTCCATTAATCCTCAGAATTTGTTCCCATTGGTTGATGATGTAGGTGGCCTCTAAGATGGCCCCAATGGTCCCCATTGCTTGGTGTTCATGCCCTTGTATAATCCCGTCCCCTTGAGGATGAGTTGGACCTAGTAACTCACTTCTAGCAAATAGAATATGACAAAAGTGAAGGGACATCACCTCGGAGATTAGGTTATAAAAAGACAGTGGTACCCTCTCAGCACTCTTGGCTTTCTCTTGGATCACCAGCTGCAGTGTTGTGATGACAATAGGGCAGCCTGTGGAGAGGCCCACATGACCAGGAGTAGAGGCCTGCCAGCAACCATGTGAGTAAGCCTGGAAGCTGACTTTCTGAGGCCTGTCAACAGCCGTGAGCATGAGCTTAGAAGTAAGTTCTTTAGCCCCAAATAAACCTATGGTGACTGCAACCTCATGAGAGACTTTGACCCAGGGACACCCAGTTAAGTTTACACCCTGATTTCTAACCCAACAAAATGAGAGATAATAAATGTTTGTTGCTTTACGCCACCAAGCTTTGGGGTAATTTGTTACACAGCAAGAAAAACCAATACAGATTTTGGAAACAGAAGTGAAGTGCTGTGCAATAAAAACCTAAAATGTGGGAATGGCTTTGGACCAGAGAATGGGCATTGAGCAGCATATTAGTGAAAGCCTGAAGTGCTCTGAACACAGTATTCATAGAATTTTGGACTCTGAGGATGCTGCACATAGGGGTCTGCAGGAAAGTGAGAAGAATCATAGGAAACTAAAGGAAGGGAGTCTTGTTGTGTATTGGCAGAAAGTTTAGCCACACTGTTGCCTGCAGTTAAGCAAAAAGTGAAAAATGTGCTTAATCAACTGGCAGATCTAGCTGAGAAGATTTCCAAGCAGGGTGGTGAAGACACACCTGGTGTCTTCTTGCTACTTATAGTCAAATGTGAGAGGAGAAAAACTGAGGAAAGTGCTGTTAAATAAAAAGAAGGCAAGACTTAACTAGTTTTGGAAATGCTCAATTTCCCAGATAGCAAATGATACCAAAACTAAGAAATGGCATGGCCTAAAGATGAAGCCAAGGGCATGACTGTGACTTTTAAGATCCCCAAAAGATCAAAGGTGGGCTCTCAGAGCACTACTCAGTCACATTTGCAGGACCTTCAAAAAGCTTGAGGGTGTGCCTCGACAAACAGCTCAATGAAGTGGCAAGTCCTCCAGGACACTAAAGTGTGTTGATCTCAGTCATCTCAGCAGGAATACAGGCAGAGAAGGGTTAATCTCTACGAGAGCTGTGGGTACAGCTTTTGGATAACGGAGCAAATGCCAAGAAGATTCACAACATACCCATAAAGTTCTTAAAAGACTCCCATTTGCAGAAACATCACCAGCTTAGTTGAAAGGGAAAGAGACAGCACAAAACAAAAATAGCCTTCTGGATTCCCCAAATTCCACTAGTCGGAAGCAGGCTGAGGAAAGTGCTCAGCTGAGAATATGTGCTACCCTTCACAAAAAAGGAAAGTGACACAGAGGGCAAAGTCAATGCCCACAGGGCTTTCCAAGTCCATAGAACTCATCACAAATTCCCAACATTGCACAGCTGGGTTCCAGAATTGCTATGGATGGTGGCACTCTTATGTGTCCCACTGTCCCTTTTTGAACAGAAATGTCTATAGCAGTTATCCTATGCCTGTTCCATCTCTGCCTGCTGGGTGTGTGGAGGGATAACTTGTCTCTTTAGTTTCACAAGTCTACAGATTCAGAGAAACAGCAGGAGCCATACTTAAGGAACTACACCAAAGGAGCCTCAGCCACATCCAGGCCTGATTTGGATGATGAGATTCTGGCCTTTGAGGTAATGCTGTAATGGAATGAGACTCTGGGGAATTGGGAGGGGGTGAGTGTATTTTACATTAGGAAGGATAGGAATCATTAGGGCCAGAGGGCAGACTGCGGTGGGCCTTTAAGATGGCTCCCAATGATCCCTGCCTCCTGGTGTTCATATCCTTGTGTAATATGCCCCCAGGAAATGTGGGCTGGGTCTACGACTCACTCCTAACAAATATAATATGGCAAAACTGATGGGTTCTCTCCTCTGAGACTGGGTTTCGGTAGCTTCTGTTGGGTACTCTCAGTTCTCGCTCTCAGCTCACAAGCAGCCATGATATGAGGACGCTCAAGCATCCTGTGCAGAGGCCCATGTGACCAGGAACCAAGGCCAGCTTGGAAGCTGATCTTCTGAGTCCTATCAGCAGCCCTGTGACGAGCTTGAAAGCAAATTCCCCAGTCCTAATCAAGCCCTGGACTGACCACGTGCCCAGTTACCAGCTGGACTTTAACCTCATGAGAGACCCTGGGTCCAGGTAGCCAGCTACACCATACCTGCATTCCTGGCCCCAAGAAATGGTGAGATAACAGACACTTGTTGTTTTAGCTGCTAAGTTTTGGAATAATTTTTTAGTTTCTGTGGAGATTATTCCCATGTCCTGGGATCCAGTTAGTTTAGACTGGAACACATTTAAAAGATTAACATATCTCTGAAATTTCCTCACCTCTTTGAGTTCTCTCTGCCTGTGTGCACTAAAGCCTTTCTTTGTAACTAAGAAGGAAAAGGATCAAAAGAGTTGGTTTCCTTCCAGCGGTCTATTAAAATCACAGGTGTCTATGTCTCAGAGAGTACACTGGGCAGCCACCACCTTTCCGTCCCCACAGAGATCAGGCAGCATGGCCTGATGTAAACCGCTACCTGGGGTCAGCAAGCCTGGGTTCCAGCACTGACTGCCTTGCAAACTAGCTGGGCAGTCTTGGGCCATCACACATCTCCAGCTACTCATCTACAAAGTGAGTTATTGTGAGGATTTAGCAAAGTCACAGAAACAACGTTCTGTCAACTGGGCTGCAGTGCTAATGAGAGAAAAAGTTAAACTGAATTTTTAAGCTGAACTTTTACTTCTACCTAGGTCCAGGTTCCCTCCCTGGCCACTGAGAGCTCCACAGGGACTCCTTCCTTGGGCTGTGGCACTTCGCCTTCTCATTTGGAGCCTCCAGTGGGTCAGAACTTAGCCTCTGGGCAGGCGTTAACAGCACCATGTCCCCAGGCTGTGGACTCGGCACCAGGGAAGTATCCTGCATGCTCTGCTGTGTCTAGGGAAGTGATCCTCCACACGGCCTCAGCCCTGTGCTCTTTCACAGCGAGCCTCGGAAACACCCACCTGAAAGGCTTCCCTGACCTACAAGAGGTTGGTGAAGGGACCCAGGCCAGGCCCATTGCTCCCTGAAACCCCTACAAGGAGGGCTGGACCACCATGGCCTGTCAGTCATCCCCTGGAAGCTCTGGTGCAGGTGCCCAAGCCTGCCCAGGACCAGATGTGGGGGACAGTGGGGGATCAGGGCCACAGCCCCCTTGAGCTTTGCTGGGGAAAGACTGAGCCCTCCATGGGACAGCAACACATTTAAAAGATTGTTGTACCAAGCACAAAGGGGGCCAAAGAGCCTTCAGTCGATCTTGAGATTCCACAGACAGGGTCAGGGGAGGGAAGGAGGGTGTCCTGTGGGTGTGGAATAGCCTGCAGTTGGCACCCCATCTGTCAGGGCCTGACCAGGATGGCCTCCCCTCTGCCAACGGCACCTCCCTGTCTACAGGCAGCCTTTCTGACCCACATAGGATTACAGTCCCCTCAATTCCCTGGGTCCCGCTCCACAGATGCAGCTCACACCGGGTACAGCATAGTGGGGAGGGGCTGTGTGTGCTCTCCAACAAGGATACAGCTAGACCCACCTGTACCCTCAGCAAGTATCCCCGATGAGGCGTCTCACTCACCCCAAAATCGAAGCAGTTGAAGGAAGACCGAAAGTAGCTTCTGGGCCCCAGGCCATACATCTTCAGGGACATCTCTGTGAGGAAGAGACCCAGGAAAACAAACTCTGCAAAGTCTAGGAGAAGCCGGAAAAGAAGGGGATTAGCTCATGGCCTCCTCCCACCTGGCTCCAGCCCAGACTGGAGGACACCAGACCTCTGGGCTTTTCTAGGATTGAGCCCTCAGGCCTGGTCTGTGTCCCCTGAGCTCTGAAATCTCAGCCCAGGACAGGAATAACAAACAGAAGGGATGCAGAGGGATGCTCATTCCAGTATGAAAGGTGGTGAGTGCCCAGTGCCTGTGGGATACAGAGGAAGGCTCAGCAGGAGGTGAGCTCCTGGGACTGGGCTCAGGAGTGAGTTCTGGGGTCACAGGGTACCCCCCCAGAGGGAGGTCTGGAGCTGTCAGGCAGAGAGCTGCCATCCCCTACGGAGAAGCTGGACAGCCTTGGGCCAGTCCTTCTGCCTTCAGCCTGCTTCAGGGGGAGTCCCTCAGCCTCCTCCTCAGAATCTGTCTGTCCACGAGGACTTCCCTAACACCCCTCCTCAGGACCCCCACAGCACCATATGTGGTTTCAACTTTGTTCACAGGTTCACCCCACTAAATACTGAGCTTCTCCGCCACCCAAGCATCCCTAGATGCAGCTAGTACGAGGCTCCCAGGAGGCACTGATGCTTGCTGGGGACCTCAGGGACACCACCTCGTAGCTCTGTTTGTGAGTCACACAGAGGCTTCTGTGGGTACCTTCACCTTCCCACAAGCCAGGCCCCAGCAAGCAGCAGCAGCAAGCAGGGCCTCCCTCAGCCCAGGACTCCCGCCACTGGCCGTGATGACCCTGAAGGGCCTCAGGACTAAAGGGAGGCCACACTGGAGCTGAGGACTGTGCTGGGAATTTGAGGCACATAGGCACTACCCCTAACCTAGCCTGAGCAGAAAGTTGAGTTAGAGCAAGAAATAACATTTCAGAAGCTGTACGAAGCCACAGACAGCAGGAGATGCAGCTGGGCTCAGCCACTGGCCTAACCAGGAATTCCAGACATCAGATCAAGGTCATTGTCTTTGATTTTCCTCCCAAAACACGGAGCTGAAATCAGCTCATTATTTCCTACAGTAAGCCAAAGGCTCTGTGGCCTTTGACCCCAGAGAAGTAGGGGCCAAGGAAGCAGCTCAGAACCCAGGGCAGAGCCCACCATGGAGGGCCACAGGGAAGGAGTGAAGGGTAAGCTTCTGAGAGTCCAGTCACTGGGCAGTCACCAGTCCAGCGCTGCCAGGATCTCTGACATCCAGACTGGTTGGGAGACTGGACCTCAAGCAGCTCCTAATAAAACACCTCCAGCCATCCCTAGGCACCCTGAAATCTGCCTTCCTCCACAGCAACTGCTGTGCTGCACAGATCCAGCAGCCTCAGCCAGGGGTAGAGCTGCAGCAGCCCAGACACTGAACGAGCAGAGACACCAGCTCCACTGCCCACACAGACAGACACACAATGGTGTGTATGGCCCAAGAAGGTCTCAGGCAGGGGACTCTCCTTCTATGGCCTGAGTACATGGACAACCAGTTCCTGAGAGCAACTCACCCACAGCAAGCCTGGTCTCTGAAGTCAGCCAAAAAATCACCAGGGCACCCAAGCTGGACATGGGATGAGTAATGAAAAGGCAAAGCAGCTTCCATGGAGAAGTCAGGAGGCCAGTGTCAGAGGCATGGATGCCTGCTGACCCTCAGGCAGGAACCACCTAGGGAAGAAGAATCCACCCCAGCCAGGCCTGACACTGCCTGACTGCCCAACACCTGGTCCTGGCTGTGCTGACCCGTAGGTATGAGGGGTGGTGGGAAAGATGTGCACTGCCCCAAGTCCAGCTCGAATGCCCCAGCAACCTGGAAAGACCCAAGGCTCCTGGCCACTGAGCCCCATAGCCCCTCCACATGAGGTCACAAAGGCACTCTGCCTCTGCACCTCGGGGCTCCCCACAAAAGGAGCTCAGGCCATGGGAGGAGAGGCCACAGAGACGGGACTTACAGCAACCCACACACCAGGCCTTGGAGCTGAAGCTGCCCAGGTACTCATCTTGCTCCCCAGGAGACCAAAGGGAGAACACTGCAAGGAACAAGTACAGGAATTGCCCAAAGCGCAACTTCTTCAGAGAAAGGAAGTAACTTGATGCAGAAATTCCCCTACATCCTGCCTGCCTGGTACTCACTCTCCCAAGGAAGAGACACCCTCATTCATGTGCTCAGCCTCCCTCTGAGGCCAAGAAAGAGTGTTCACTCATTCATTCCTGAATCACTCATTCCACTAGCAGGCATGATGTTGCTAGGAGCTGGCACGAGGGAGAGACTTGACCTCTCTGGGCCTGCAAGGCTGACAGGGAGCAGAGGCAGACCATTTCAACAGGGTTTTGTATTATACTAAGGGGACAGTGTGTTACGGGAACAGAGGGACAGAGGGGAGGGGGTCAAGCCTGTCTTGTGAGGCCAGGGGGGCTCACAGGATGATGAGGCCCAAGAGCCAGCTGTGTACTTGAGCACAGCAGCCACTCCCATCCTTCTGTCACCACTCAAGCCTCAGCCTCAGGGGTCCTGGTAGAGCATCAGGGGTGAGTCCCTGCTGGACAGACAGCTGAGATGCACAGAACCCACTCCTCACAGGGCAGCCAGCCTCAGGCCAGGGCCCCACAGGGACCTCCAGTGAAGCTGGTCCTGGCAGGGACCCCTCCTACCTCTGCCTCTGCCTCTTGCAAGGCCTGCCCTACCTTGTTGGATCAGCCTCCCTCAGCTCCACCCAGCTGTCAAGGATAGAGCCTGGGGCACTGCGCAGACTGTCCAGACCCAGCATATACCCACGTCTCCCTCTAGCAATTTTCCCTCGGTGATGCCAATGAATTCAGAAATTCCCAGGAAACCACAAAGAAGAAAAAGCAGCAAGGGGGCAGATTCCTGGCCAGGGACGCCTGTAGCCTCGCCCAGCTGCTGGGCACCTCCAGCCTTCAGCTCCTGCACATTAGACATGCGATCAGGCCATGCAGATTGCCCTCTGCCCATTCCAGGGGCAAATCCCCAGGAAACAAGGAGGAACTACAAGAATGAGTGGGCACCACCAGCTTCTTTCATGGGAAGAAAGGCTTAGCTAGGAAGCCCCACGGAGCAGCTGCATGCCACTGAGTCAGGAGGAAGCCCAGTCTCCCTAATCCCCAAACAACCCCCAAGGGTGGGGAAATTTTAGCCTGAGGACTCAAGGGAGATACTGAGCTCGGTCCCAAGCAAAGTCCCAACACTTCAAACTACGGGTCCCAGGACACATGAATCAGGGGCCAGAGGGGGCAGTTTAGTGCACACAAGCTGCTCCTTCACTTTCACACTCCTCACGGAGCCTGTGCCAGGCTGTCTGCCTGAAGCTCCCTGGGCCCCTTTTGCTTCTGCTGCCTCTTTGCCCTTTCCATTGTATAAGTAATTGATTTCAGCACAAGTCTGGGAAACTGTAGCCTAGAGTACCACCCCCAACACACCCACTCCCACCCACATTTTCAAGTGGCTGTGCAGCTGTCAGGGTCTATAGCTCATAAGATCCCTTCAGGAGCTGCCTAGACTCCTGGTCTAACCCAACCAGGCTCAGCGGTCCAACAGAGGGGAGTATGGCTAGCCCGCTAGGAGGGTTCTTCTCTGGAGAAAAGGCTCTCTTGGGCACCTCAGATGGTTTCAGGCACACAGGGCTCCCAAGGAGATGGCGAGACCCTTGTGGGAGCCCAAAAAAGGCCCTGTCTCCAGGTGAGCCACAGACCCCAGGCAGGCGAGGGAAGCTGACCCTGAGGAAGAGAAAGGCAGAAGCACTGACCACAGGACAGTAATCGTTAGTGGAGTCTGTCTTTAGAGCACTTGTGAGGTAAGACAACATACCAAGACTTTAAGCTCCATGTGGCTTGCAGAGCCCTAGTGTACAAAGAGTCAGTCTTGGAGTGTCAGCCCTGGTCCCTGGAGAGGGGCAAGGAGCCCCAACCACCCCACTTATCTTTTCTTCACCTCCTTGGTGCTGTAGCCAGGGCCAAGACAAGTCATGACTCAGATCCTTGTGGCCTGTCCTAAGGCTCATGGACACAGCACTGTAAGTCAGCCCTAGTCATGGACACACCTAGATTCAACCAATCAAAACAAAAACAAAAACAAAAATAGCCAAAAGAGCCCTGGGAGAGCCCTAGAAGTCAGGACTATCTCCTCAGGACCCCAGGCAGGATCTGCAGCCTCATGGAAGACTGGAACGAGAAGCTGAGGAGCTAAGTCCCCTGGTCCACAGGTCTGAAGCCATTACAAGGGAGGACACAGATCCAGCTGGCCTGCCTTGTGCCTGGTCATCCCACAAACTTCCTCCCCAGGGCACCCAGACCCCTCGCTCATTTCACATTACACCAATGGATAGGGGGTCTAGCCAGATCAGCTGGGCTTCCCGGAGCCGGTGCCCAGGTTGGCAGAGGCTGCACAGCCCTAGGATGGGAAGCTCAGGCCCTGGGTGCAGCCCCGGCCGCCAGCAGAGGCCCCTGGGACCTGACCAGGCCTGTGGGGGCACTTTGGTCAGTGCAGGGGTCCTACCCAGGACATTCCAAGGCAAAAGGCTGTGGACCAGGATTTCCAGGCTTCAGACCAGAGGTGGTTCGGGAAGAGGTGAGGGGGAGGCCCGGGCCGCATCTACATACACAGCGCCGTGGTGAGCCGCTGCGGCTGGTTGTAGTGCACCATGGCCACACACACTGTGTTCAGGGCCACCACGCACAGCACCACCCAGTAGAAGCTCTGCGCCTTCACCATGCGCCGGATGAAGAACCGGAACATCTTCTCCTTCCTACGGAAGTACGACGAGCTCTCTGTCTTCCCGCTCTTGAGGCTGGCACGAGCGAAGGGGGATCCTGGGGGGGACAGGGGACTCACTGAGGACGTGTGGGGACCAGTGGGCCCAAGGACAGACTCTCCTTACACCGAGATGTGCCCCATGGATACGCTTCCCCCAGCCCAAGCATCTCCCTCCATAAACACACCTTCAAAGACGCTTGTCCCCAGCCTGGGCCTGACTAGGCCCCATTTCTGATTACATGCACCATATGCGTCTGACCTGCTATTGACGTGGTGCTAATTACCCCCGCACCTCCCTGCAGCGGGTCCTGGCCCTGCCCACGTCTCATAGATGAGGGGACCGAGAGCCTTGGTGGTCTCCACTGTTACTGGGCGCTGGATGGGAGACCTGGGTTGGAACTGGTCTCTGACCCTAGCGCCCCTGGCATCTTCTAGGAGCACAGCCCCAGTGCTCCCAGGCCATCCCAGTTCTGCCATGAGGCATGTGAATCCTATCTCATCTGGTCCTCTTTCTCTCTTTAACTCAAGAGTCTGCAACCACTGGCCTGTTTTTAAGTTGCTGTACTGGAACACAGCCAAGCTCCTTTGTTTGCATCTGGTCCATGGCTGCTGTCCTGGTACAGCAGCAGATGTAAGTATGGCCCACAAAGCCCCAAATACTCACTCTCTGGAAACTTTACCCATAGAGCTGCTCCTCTCCCCTATTCACCACCCACACCCAATGGCTTCTCTCACTTCCGCACACACACCACCTCTGCTTTGCCTTGACCTAAGCATGAAATGCTTCCCTCGGCTGGCCTCTTTCCTACAACAGGCTCCTTCTCGGCTTTGTGTCTCGGCTTCAATGTCACCTCACAAAGCGCCCTTCTCTGGGCACTCCACCTAAAATAGCATCTTCAGCCCCCCAACAATAATCATAACCTCACACCATCTGCCACCGTATTGGTTTCTTGACCTGTTCTGTGTCTGACTCCCAGACCAGGCTGTGAGCCCTGTGGGGACAGGGGCCACATGCTCTTTCACCACCAGACCCCTCGTACTACCTGACAAATGAGTGAGCAGACTTCCCGGGTGCTTGGAGGTTCTGAGTGTGTGTGTGCAGAGTCTGGCTTTGTCTGTTGGGAGCTCTTTGTGTCTCTGCCACACACCTGTGCCTGCATCGGGGTTTCTCTAGTTTGTGCAGTAAGACTTGGGCGTGTGTGTGCCTCTGAGTGTTCAAACCCAGTCAGCATTGAACATCCGGGCTTGGGTATTGGGTGCCTGGGTAGTGGTATGAAGTGTGTGTGAGCATGTGTGTTATGTGATGTCGTGTGTATTTGCACGTGTGTGTGCATGTGCACACCCAGACTCTCAGTGGCACACTAAGAGCATCAGTGGGCTGGTGTTTTCTTGGATTCACTGAAATGATGACAGGCCCCAAGGCCTTTGGAGAGAATTGTCTACAAGCTGAGCAGCTGCATCAGGCAGGAAGACACTGTCACAGACAGCCCCAGACACAGAAGGAGGGGTCCAGAGGATAGTGTCCATCAGCAAGTCCTCTGGGGGACCTCATAGGGTCCTAATGGCAGATTCCCGGCACTCTAGATGCCATACCCCCTCCATACCCATGGGAGACACTGTTCTATCACAGCCCTCCTCCTGGCTAAGCCAGGACACAGCCTCCCAATCCACATCCAGACACCAGCCACTGCCAGTTAGTCAGAGCTGGCTTATTCAGCAAAACCTCTGGTGTCCCTTGGGCTGACTTCCTCACTTCTTTCAACTCTTTACTCAAAGGCAATCTTCCTCCTGAGGCCTTATATGGCCATTCTATTTAAAATCCCAACAACCGAGACCCTTCAAGCCCCCTCCTGTCTCTACTTTTTTCTCTTTTTCACACAAGGCACTGACATGCTGGGTATTTTGTCATCTTGTTTGTTGTCTGATGCCCCCACTGAAACAGAAACTCCAGGATATGAAGAGGCTTCACTGTTGTATTCAGTGTTACAGCCCAAATGCCTCGAACACTGACTGGCACATGAGGAGCACTTGGTAAATATTTGTTGAGTGAATAAACAATCAAATGACTGAATACAGGAGAAATTAAAAGAATTATGGGAGAACACTATATGCAGCCCTATAGAAATAAGTTTGAAAAGCCAAGAAAATAGAAGATTTCCTAACAAAGAATAATTCATAAAACCGGTCCAAGTTCTTTTTATTTTTTAACTAGATGAGTTCACAGTTTTATCTTACCTTTAAAGAACAGATCATTTAGGTGTTATTTAAATTATTCCAAGCCATGCAAAGAGATTTTTTAAAATATTCTCCAATTCATTTTACAAAATCAGAATAAAAACTCTAAGTAAAATAGGAATAGAGGGAACTACTTAAAAATAACACTCATATGATCAATTTGAAAAAAATTATAATGAAATTCAGATCCACAACATACATTGGTCTCTTAACCAATACAAACAACCCACTAGAAAAATGGACAGGGGATACGAAGAGTCACCAAAGCCAAATTCAAACAGAAAACAAACATCCAGAAAGAGGTCCAAAATCACTAGTGGTGAATGAAATGAGAACTATAGTCCCAGTGAAGTACCACTTTATAATTGTCAAATTGGCCTCAAACTGGCAAAAGTCAAAAGTAGCTGCACCATCTCACAGGATGAAGGTAAATGTTTTCTTGCACTGTCAGTGGGATGTGAGTCCCAGCCCTTCTGGAAAGCAGAATGGAGGCAACCCTGGAAGGTACAAAGGGAGTCCTTCCTCAGCAGCCCTGCTCTGGGGACGGATCCCACAGAGGCAAAGGCACTGCTAACGAGGGACAGACGTTTACAGGATGCTTTTCGGAAGCATTTTTTATGGCGAAAAAAAAACAACCTAAAAACAAATAAATGGCCACCAATGGGGAGCAGTTAAATAAATTATAGTGAATCCATACTATGGAATACCATGTAGCCATTTGTGAGAGCACATTAGAATTAGACTAATTGATGGGGAGGGGTTTCCAAAAGGTATTGAGGAGAAAAATCTGTAGGAAATCATTTCTGTAATGTGAAAAGACCCCAAAACTGTACACACGTGTACGTGTGTATGTGTATGTACATGCGTGTGTGTGTGCACATGTGTTTGTTATCTGAGATGAGCATGGAGAAATAAATACATACATACATACATACATACACAAACAAATAACTTTTATTAAAGAGTTCTGTCCTGTAAATGTCACAATGTAATGGGAAACAGATCTTCTAATTCAGATCCACTCACAGACTGCTGGAGAGCAGGGAAGTCCAGACTGGATTTGACCTGGTACCTTGCAGTGAAAAGCTGCCATTGCCAACTGTTGGCCCCTCTCCCACACTGCTGAGTGTGGAGGCCTAGGGCAGAGTCCTCCTTTGCCACAGAATGCACAACAGGGCATTTGGTGGGAAAAGGCCTGGGCACTTCTGGTACCAGACTGAGAGGAAGGGAACTAAATTGGCTCTGCCTAATAAATTAACTGGAATTTTCCTTTAACAGTTTGAGAAGTAGGGGGTGAAGCCAGGGTCTCAGAGGCAGCAGGCCCCAGGAAAATGGAAGATAGACAGCGGCTTAGGAGAGAGACGGCCAGAACTTTCAGTTCCCCCAGAGTCAGTGACACACACAGGACTCTGGCCTTGGGATGTGACTGGAGGCTCTATGTTTATGTGGCGGATGGCAGAGTCAAGAGCAGCCAGCTGCCAGAGAAGTATATTGAAATGAACAAGCAGGAGGCATTGGGCAAAAAGGAACTTCCAGGAGCCATACGCACAGCCCACTCCCACCAGCTTGGCCCTCAGAAAGAAATCTGAGCACACACTGGAGGGCGCTGTACTTCCTGCTAGCTTGGATGTGGGTGGACATGAGACTAGCTTACCTGAGAGGGGTGGGCTGTGGAGGAGGAGAGAGGAGGCCCCAGAGGGCTGGAAGCCTGGGTGACAAGGAAGAAGCTGAGTGCATATTCTATATCCAGACACAGCCCCCACGGAACTAGGAGGCCCCAAAGAAACTCACCAACAGCACAGAGGTCTGCAAACCGGTCCTCCCCCTCCTCCGCGTGGATCAGGTCGTTTCGGCTCTTCTTGGTGGCTGCTCTCTTCAACACTGCTTTAAACAAAGGGTGGGGGACAGGGAATGCATGAGCCAGAGCCCTAGGCTGACCTGCCTCAGGGCTGGGGGTGCCCTTCAGCTGAGGATGAGATTATCCTCCCAGTGACTAGGAGCCTTCCCTGATCTGCTATCCTGAAGCTGAAGCTGAGGGAGGCAGGACAATTCCCAGCCCCCACAGGCCCCTCTTGGTCCTCAGAGCAAAAGGGACGAGGAATTTTGAAGGTAGGTCTCCTTTTTCTTCTCTCCACAATGATGTCAGTGGGGAAGGCCTGGCTACCAGGGAGACCAGGAAATGTCCATGTGGGGTAAGGCAGCCCTAGCAGACACACTCTGAGGCCAGGTGAGACCAAAGAGATCAGGTCAGGTCTGCAGAAGGGCCAGCACAGCCTTGCTCAGAGTCCCAGGTATGGGCAAGCTGAGACCAGGGCAAGTGTGGCCATGCTGTCTGGCCCTGTTCTCAGCAGTGGGTGTGAAGAGAGGGCAGCCCTCCTGACATGAGGCCATGCTGGTGGCCAGGGCCAGTGACCACAGCTATGCTGGCCCTCACCCCTGCCCCAGTGGCCCTAAGTTGTACAAGGAGTCATTCCATGGCAATGTGGGAACAGTATCACCCTGAGCCCTGTGGACAGATACAGCTTAGTTTAAACCTGCAGCTTTAAATTTTCTAGACGCAGTGCTGTCCAACAGAACTTTCCATGACTGATGAGAATGGGAGCCACTAGCCCCACCTGGTTCTTGAGCACTTGAAATGTGAGGAATGAGACTGAGGAACTGGATTTTGACTTTCATTTCATTGTAATGTACTTATGGGTACACGTACACAGTCACAGTCAGCTGCCATGTTGGACAACACAGCTCTTGGGTCCCCCATGCTGTGAGCACAGGCTCTTCTGACTCCTGGGCTGAGACCTTGGTGGGCATGGCTGTGCTGTCTGAGCCCACTGCCAGTTCCATCCCGTCTGGTCCATGGCAAGCAGCTCACCAGGAGCATGCAGCTGACCGTCACACAGTCTCCCTCCAGAACGGGCTCTGCCCAGACCTGTGTGTTAATGTGATGGATGTGCACGTGCCTGACATGGAAGAGAGCATCCTGCATCACACGTGCAAGCATGCACATCAAAGCTCTCTTGTTAGGCAAAGAGTGCTAACAACAGTCACCTACCATCCAGAGGGGACTTCTCCTCCGCGTTCTTGTCCTCCTCAGCCAGCATGACTTCCTCTGTGAGTGAGACATAGCCTCAGGTCGGAGCCTTCCTGTGCCCAGCCCTGACCAGGGTTTATCCTCCAGGAACACAGCAGGACAAAGATGCACCTCTACCCGCAAGACCCTGCCTTCTCAGCCCTTATACTCCAGAAGCCTACGGGGCCCATGGCTGAGCTTTTTCTACCAAGACAGACACCCTCTATGTGTCCCACAGACAGTGCCTGTGATGAGGGCCTGGCTTGTTCCCACTCACAATCACCCTCCCTGAGAGCAGCCTCCCACGAGGCAAGTTCATCACTGAGAAGGCACATGAGCAGGTGCCCCACACGCAGGAAAGAGTGCTGGCCCGGAGCCAGAGGAGGGGAGTCAGAAACTCCAGGCCTGACGGAGCCCAGAGCCAGGGGGAAGAAGGGGCTCAGGTGAAGGGAAGAGTAGAAGTAGCTCTAGGCTGGACCATGCATGAATTCTCCAAGAAAAGGCCCGCGTCCCCAGACCACAGGGCTGCCTGGCGTCAGGACCTTGGGTGAGCTGGAGAGAAGCCCCTCTTCACTACAAAGCCCTTTCAGAATGTCTCAGCTCTCCACTGCTAGACTGGTCTCATCCACCCCAGGGCCAGGGGACCCTGCCCGGCAGCCTGAGGGAACTCGAGGAGAGGGAACTGACAATGACCAGGCCGGGCACATGGGAGCAGGCTCCTCCTGGTCCTCACCAGCCTTGAAGATCCACTCCAGGTACCCATTGAGTTCCCGCTCAATCTGCTGCTGCCGGCGGAGCTTCAGGAAGGCCCGGCGGTTCTCCACCCTCTCACGTTCCTTGGCAAACTCTCTGTAATGTGCAGGGGCCGGGACAGTAAGCAGACCAGGTGAGTGTGAACACACAGGCAGGCCCCACAGGTGTGCCGCCCAGAGGAAAAGGGAACCCAGAGGAGGCTGGGACAGGAGACGTAGGCCGTGGGTTACCCTTCCAGGTGAGCCCCCCAACCCTGCACACTTCTAACCTGAGCACTCAGAAGGCCCAGGTGAACCCCCTCCTCACTCCTCCCTCAGGCCCCAGAGAGGAGGCTCCAGAGGGCAGGGACAATTCCACACCCCTCTGCCTAGAGCAGACCTAGGTGACAAATAAACGGTAAGCAATAGGACATACTGGAATATATAAGGAAGCCATTTGGAGTAAACCTAATTTGGCCTGACTTTGTTTTTCCAAAAGGGGCTGCCGAGGTCATTGAGCATGCATTGTTTATCCGCTTTAAGCATTTCCTATGGCAAGAAAAAAATGCCCTTAAGATAAAGATGGAACTTCCCCCACAGTGGCATTTCCTTAAGGATGAGCATCTCTCCCTAGGCTAGGAACTGATTGCTGTGCCCATCTGTGACCACCTAGCTCTAGACAACAGACCTGCTGTGTGCTGTGTCCACCGAAATAGCAGATCTACTACCTGCTGTGTCCATCAATCGCTGTGCTGACAGGGCAGTCTCATGACTATTGTAAAAGGGACATTTCAATCATATGTGAAACGTGCTCTTTGAGGGTATATAACCACTCTGTAGTTATATACAGGTTATCTACAGGGGTATATAACCCCCCTACTTCTTTGATGCCCTTCCTTCCTTGGGGAAGGAAGGCCCTGGGCTATATGGTCCTCACATTTGGCTCAGAATAAACTCACCCCAATTTTCATTTATAGATTGGTTATGGATTATTTGCATCAACAGAGGCATGCACCCTCTGATTGCCGACCCTGTCATCTGTCATCCTACGGAGGGCTCCTGGAGAAGAATTCCCTACAAGAATCATCTGCCTGCAAGACCCTGCCTTCTCAGCCCTTACACTTCTGGAAGCCTGCAGAACTCTCGCTCTTTTTCTCTCCCTCTGTTTCTTCTTCGAGTTCAGACCCAAAGCCATTGCTAGAAGGAAGAGGGACAGATAGGAGCAGGGGGAGAAAGGACTGGACCAGGGCAGGCTAGAGACAAAAGGAAAACCTTCTGGAGTCCATGTAGCCCCCTTAACCAAACCTCAGGCTCATGATGAGCAGGAGAGAGATCTTCTGCCCCCCTTAGCCCTCAGCACACCAGCCCCAGCCTCCCAGCCAAGGTTTTAGCCTCCTAGTGTCAGAAGGCATTAGGGCACACAGACACAAGAGTCCACACATGCACACACATGAAACATGCACATACGCCCCCAGCATCCAGCCTGGCCAAGCCTTCTCAGCTCAGGCTTGGAGCAGAATCCAAGTCCCCAGAGAGAGGGCAGGCACACTCCCACAGCTAAAGAACAAAGCCTCTTCTCAGCTGAGACATGTTTCTCCTCCAGGAGAAATAGCTTCTGGGCTTGATGGAGCAGACCTGCCTAGCCTGACTCTCAGCACACAACCACAACGAGAGGGTGACTGGCTCTGACTAGGACTGACCCCAAGCCCGTGGCCAGTGTCCACCAGGGTTGGAGATGCTGCAACCTTAGCAAGGAGAGGGGAAGGCTCCTGCCTGGACCTTCCATCTCTCCAAAGTCCCGAATCTACAGGAACACTGGGTCCCTTGCGGCCTCCCCATCGAGGCCAGCTCCCTTGGCCATTCTGAGGTCAGGACGGGCTGAGGGCAGGGGTAGGGCAGTGACAATACTGCTCAAGTCAGTCTGAGGCCACCAGCAAGGACTTGCGGCAACCGCAGGGCAGCCACTTCTCAGGTGGCAGCCAGCAGCAGGGCCTGCCCTCCCTGGGTTCAGCTCTCACTGGTAAGGAGGGCCTCAAGAGGAATCACCAGTGTGCTTCTCTGGCACATTGGGAGAACGAGAGCCCAGAGGAAAGAAGCACGAGGCTAGATGGGCTCCCAGCCGGCCCCTCAGGCAGCTCTCACCCAGACACGGCAGAGCCGGGGCTAGAGAGGGTCCCTCAGGGCAAGCTTTCCCCCATCCGGGCTGTCAAGGCCACAACTAATTGCTGCTGCCTTGGAGTCTACCCACCGTGGGACCCACACGCTCTGCGCTGACCACTGGCTTTAGGGGCCCATGTCATCTCCAAGCCTCCCCAGGGCTGGAAGAAAACCCTGGGTCCCTCTGCTGGAACTGCATGCCCAAGGGAGGGCTCAGCTGAGACTGACTAGGAAAATCATTCCGTAACGCCCCAACTACAGAGGACAGGCTGCTCACAGGAGGGACAAGGGCTGGGAAGATACAAAGCTAGTGGCCCCTCCCTCTAGGCTTCCCTCCATGCCTAGTCCTTTCTGCCCATTCTCCAGAGGGAGCCCGACAAAGCCACCCTAGAGGCTCTTCTCCTGCCTCACCACAACCCACTCGTGCTCCCGCCAACTCCCACTGTGCACCGTCCTCAGCACAGAGCCACCTCCTTGAGAGCCTGGCTGCCTGCCAGCACCCTTTCCCCACCACACCTTCCGGCTCCACCTCTAAGCAGCCTGCAGCACAGGCACCACAACCCCCATGCCTCTGGGCCTCTACTCCAGCTCTTCTCTGCCTGGAAGACCTCCTCCCTCCTTCACCAAGCTCACTCCAGGCTCCTTTGGGTCTCAGCTGAGATGCCCCTTCCTCAGGTGCGTCCTCTGAGCCCCAGGCCTCCCATGGCCACCCCATCCCAGCTCAGACCCTGTGACTTCCCACCAGACTAGGAGTTCTACATCTGTCCCCTGGGCTGTGGGCTTGCCTGGTCCCTGTGGAGGTGATTGTCACATGCTAGTGACAATCGTACCCCTTACAGGAGAGGATGGAGGCTAAGGACACATTCCAGAGCCAGAGCACGTAGGCCTTGGTCCTCAGCCACTGTCCTCTCTGTGGCTGTTCCTTTCCAGGCCAATATGACAGCTGCCCCTTGGGTCCACCAGCTCCCTGAAGCCAACCTCAGAAGCCCTGGGCCTGAGTGGGAGTCTTCAAGGTAAGCAGAATGGAGAAGTCCTCCTCCAGCCTTACAGGAAATCTGACGCCAAGGTGGGGCAGGGAGGCAGGCCAGGCCTGATGACCTCTACCTCCTTCCCAACACAGCTTCCTCAGCCCTAGAGAAGGGCAGGAGCTACAAATACCAGCCCAGTTGTGCCCCAAAGCACCCAGCACTTCCTCAGCCCTGAGCCACATGCAGGACAGGAGGGCACCATGTGCACACAGGTGTGGCACATCTCACTCCCATTGTGGGTCAGGAAGCACCTTTCTCCAAGAGGATGCCCAGCCCTTCACCCTCCCTTGCCCTCTCCTGGAGGTCCTCAGCACAGAGAGGGGACCTGAGAGGAGCAGCAAGCCAAGGGTCAGGGCTGGGGTGGAGAGCTGGGTGGTCACTGATCCAAGACTCAAGGCCTCTCCACTCATTCTCCACCGCAGCAACAGAACGGTTCTCTGGCTGCCCAGAAACCTCACCATGGACCCAGGGGAGACGCAACAGCAGCTCCCCACTACGGTCAGAGGCCAGGGTGAAGGCCAAGGGTAAGATAGAGGCAAGGAGGCCAGGGCCAGGGGACGGTCAAGGGAGAGGTCAGGACAGCAGCACAAGGAAGGGCTGCCCAGAGCTCAGGACGCTGGGAGTGACTGCCACAGAGGGTGAGCCATGGGGCCAAGGCAGGCCCCACCCCCCACATCACACATGCCCGCATTCAACTCCATCACCTGTCCTGAGCCTGTGAACAGAGAGGGGTAGCACACAAGCCCACATGGCCTCTTACCCTGAGAGCACGCCCAGCACCAGGTTGAGCATGAAGAAGGAGCCGATGATGATGAGAGGGATGAAGTAGAGCCAGTTCCAGGTGTTGCCAGCTGCATCATTCGTCTGGAAGCAAGAGGAGATGATGAAGGACAGGTGAACAAGACACACAGCCCTGACCATGGAAGTTCCCCCACCTCTTCTCAAATACCTGGCAGGGGGTCTAGTCAGGGAGAGTCCAGGTAGGGAGGTTTGGGTCCAGAGAGAGGGGAGTCCAGGTCGGGGGTATTCAGACAGGGGGAGTCCAGGAAAGGGAATAGGGGTGGTGCAGGCAGGACCCGTGGTCAGACTTGTCTGTCCTTGCCCCCAAGAGCTCTCTCTGGTGCTGCAGCTCCCAAAGGACCAAGGACGCTTAGCACTGCTGGCCACTGCCTAGCAATGCTGAAAAGCCAAGGTGTAGTCCCAGGGAGCCAAAGGCTGCCCAGGGTACCCTGAGGCTGCATGCCCAGGCTCTGCCTGGACACCTCCCTTCCCAGGGTGCCGGACACACCAGACAGCTCCAAAAACATTTCTCCAGGATGGAGTCCACAGGCCCCAAGGCCCAAGTCTGATCTTCTGTCTGCAGCAGCTTCCACAGTTCAGAGGTAGTGAGCCCTGTGCCACATTCCCCCAGATCCACAGCATGCCCACAAGTTCCCAGCAAACAGTTCTCGCCACATGCCTGGCCCAGGACAGACCCCAGCACTCAGGCACGGTCTACATAACTGAATGCAAAGCAGGGCCATCTCACCCAGACCTTTCGATTTTCATAGCACAGCTCATAAAAGGGTGAGTTCCTCTGAACCCAATTCATTTCCAGTTGTTCTGTTTGTTTGGGTCCCCAGTAGACTTGGCTGAGAGGGGTGGAGAACCTCTTTCTTTGTATGAGTCTAGTGCTAGAAGTAAACCAAGAAGGGGTGAATGTTGTGGGTGGATGACCCCCTGACCCCTTTGCTCCTCACTTCAGAGGCAGCTCACAAGTCAAGGGCCAGGGCCCTGAGCAGGACAGAGGTGGGAGGGACAACCTGGCACTACCCTGTGGCTGGGGCTGATCTCCGGGTGCTACTGTCAGGATTCCTGCCCTCCAGGGTCCATTGGCCGGGACAGGATTTGCACTCTACCCCTGGAAATCCTGAGTACCCTGGACTGACTGAAGCTTGTGGCTTCTGATTCCTGGACACTGATTCCAGGCTGGCTGCCAAGATCCCTGGACCCTGACCCAGAATAGACATTCAGACTAGCAGCTCTAATTGCTGTCCATGTTCCCTGACCACACCTCTGACAGATCCACATGTAAGTCTGACCTGTGGGCTATCATGACCACCAAAGCCACCCATCTCCCAGAAATGCACTCTCAAAACCTTCCTCCTTACTGGGAAAGGAGGACGCTGCTGTTGCAATCTCAGCCCCTCCCACCCACTCAAGGGTTTGACTCCTGCAATTTCCCCTTCTCTAATGGATCATTCCCATTGGCAGCCAAGCTATTCTATTCTAATCTCAAAAAGAAAAACAAAACAAACGAGGACTTCACTTCTGGGAAGATGGAATAGACATACTCTTCCTTATTTCTCCCACTAAGCACAATTAATACCCTGGACATTACACAACGCAAATCTAAGACTCTGAAAGGTGGAAAAAAGAAAGCAGATCAGCTGGGACCTTTGAACCCACAGCAAGTTCCCTGGGGTTTTTTGGGTTTTTTGGTCTTTTCCCTCATATATGCCTGACTTGGAGCTGAAGAAGCCTGCAACCTGGAAATGCCAATAGGCATAGAAGAAAAGTGAACCAACAAAAGCCAGTCTAGCCAGGGAGCCGAGCCTTCCACCCTCTCCAGACTGTCACAGGCAACCAGCCTACCCATACCCCAAACCAGGTGACATCAGAGAAGGACAAGCAAGGGCTTGGGACACACCTCGTCAACAAGTGGTTAACAAGGCCCCCATCCCACCCCACTTCTGTGGTATTAGTGGAGACCATGTGGGGAGCCTGGACTTCCACTCCCCCACAGCAGTAATGAGACACCAGCCCCTCCCCACTGAGGTGCACTCAGAGAGGCCTGGTGGAGAGTCGGAACTTTCACTGCCACGCAGCAGTAGCCCAGACTAAAGAGCACCAACCCATTCACATAGTGTGTAGAGACCATCTGGAGAGCAGGATGGAGGCACACCTAACCCTCCCAACCAGGGAAGTTTCCTAGAGGCAGAGTCGGGAACCAGAACTGCCACCCCTACCCAGCAGTAAGGAGAAGACCCCCATAGTGTGTCAACAGAGGCCAAATGGGGAAGCAGAACTTCTACTCCCACCCTGCAATAGCGAGGCAGTGTCCCCCTTCCCCTGACAGAATGGTCAGAAGAAGCAGCTAAAACAAAATGTTTAGATAAGACCCAGGGTCTCATGACGTAATACCAAAGATGTCCAGTTTTCAATTGAAACTCACTTGCCATACCAAGAGCCAGGAAGAGCACAAACTGAGTGAAAAAAAAGATAATCAATAGCTGCCGTGATGGTTAATTTTATGTGTCAACTTGACTGGGCCATGGGTGCCTAGATATTTGGTCAAACATTATTCTGGGTGTTTCGCTAGTGTCTTTTTGGATGAGCTTAACATTTTAATTGATAGAGTAAAGCAGATTGCCATCCATAATGTGGTGAGCCTCACCCAATCAGTTGAAGGCCTGAATAAAACAAAAAGACCTACCCTACCTCCAAGCAAGAGAAGATTCTCTAGTAGACTGCCTTCAGACGTCATCTGCATCATTGGCTCTATTGGGTCTCCACCTGCTGACTTTCAGACTTTAACTCCACCATCAGCTCTCCGAGTTTTAAGCCTGCTAGCCTAAACTGCAGATTTGGACTTGCGGGCCTCCATAATCATATCAGCCAATTCCTAATAATAAATCCTATTGGTTCTATTTATCTGGAGAACCCTGACTGATAAAGATTGCCAACACTAAGATGACAGACATGATAGAAGTATCTGACAAATATTTTAAAGTAGCCATCATAAAATGCTTCAAAGGGTAATTGTGTACCTACTTTAAATACATGAAAAATAGAAAGTCTCAAAAAAACAAACAGTATCAGCAGATAAATAAAAGAACCAAATGGAAAATTTAGAAAGAAAAATATAATAATTAAAATAGAGATCTCAATGGAAAGGCACAACAGAGTGGAGGGAATATAGAGGAAAGAATCAGTAAATGGTAAATGAGAACAATATAAATTATCCAATCTGATAAATGAAGAGAAAATAGACACAAAAAAAAATAAGGAAAGGGGGCCGGTCCCGTGGTCAAGTGGTTAAGTTCACATGCTCAGCTTCGCTTCGGTGGCCCAGGGTTCAGATCCTGGGAGCAGACATGGCACCGCTCATTAGGCCATGTTGAGGTCGCATGCCACATGCCACAACTAGAGTGACCCACAACTAAAATATACAACTATGTACTGGGGGGATTTGGGGAGAAAAAAAAAAGCAGGAAAAATAAGAAAAAATTAGAACACAGCCTCAAAAACCTGTGGGACTATAACAGAAGATCTAACATTCATGTCATCAGAGTAGCACAGTACAGGAGAAAGAGGAGAAGACAAAAAGCACTTTTATAAATAATCGTTGAAAACGTCCCAACTTTGGCAGGAAACAAACCTACAGATTCAAGAAGCTGAATGACTACCACATAGGATAAAGCTAAAGAAATCCACAACAAGACACATTATATTCAAACTTAGGAAAACCAAAGATAAATTAAAAATCTTGAAAGTGGAAGAAATGACACCTTACTCAGAGGAAAAATGAAACAAATGATTTCTCATCAGAAATCATGGAGGCCAGAAAAAAGTGGCACATTATTTTTCGGGTGCTGAAAGAAAAGAATTGTCAATCCAGACACCTACACTCAACAAAAATATCCTTCAGGAAAGAAGAAGAAATCAAGACAGTCTCATATTAAAAACTAAGGAAACTAGGAGAATTTGTCACTAGTAGTTCTATCCTAAGAGAATGGCTAATGAAAGTTCTCTAAACAGAAAGGAAATGATTAAAAAAAAAAAAAAAGGAATTGTTGACCATTAGGAAGGAAGAAAGAACAATGAAAAGAGTAAAAATAGGGGTAAATAGATTTTCCTTGTCCTTTTGAGTTTTCTAAATTATGTTTGACAGCAGAAGCAAAAATTATAACACACTCTGATGTGGTTCTAAATGTATATAAAGAAAATGTTTAAGATAATTGTATTACAAATGAGGGAGGGTAAACAGACGTAAAGAAGGTAAGATTTATATACTTCAGTTGAACTGGTAAAACAATGACACCAGTAGACTGGGATAAGTCTGCATCTGGGATATAATATTATATATTACATCATATATATATATATATATATATATATGTAGTAATACTTACTAAAAGAGCAAACAGAGATATACTCAAAAACACATAGATAAATCAAAATGGAATTCTAAAAAAATTAAAGTAATATACAAGAAGGTAGGAAAAAGAAACAGAGAAACAAAGAAGAAACAGAAGTAAGCAAAAAAATAAAATGGCAGGGGATGGCCTGGTGGTGTAATCGTTAAGTTTGCATGCTCCACTTTGGCAGCCTGGGGTTTGCAGGTTTGGATCCCAGGTGCAGACTTACACACTGCTCATCAAGTCATGCTGTGGCAGCATCCCACATGTACAATAGAGGAAGATTGGCACAGATGTTAGCTCGGGGACAATCTCTTCAAGCAAAAAGAGGGAGATTGGCAACAGATGTTAGCTCAAGGCCAATCTTCCTCAAGAAAAGAAAGAGGCAGATTTGAGCTCTGATGTATCAATAATTATATTAAACATAAATGGTCTGAATACAAAAATTAAAAGGCAAAGACTGGCATAATGGATTTAAAAAACATGACCTACCTACCTATGTTTTACATACAAGAAATTCACTTCAAATATAACAATTTAGATAGATTGAAAGTAAAATTTGCAAAGAGATACGTTATACAAACATTAAGCAAAAGAAAACTATACTGCCTACATCAGTATCAGATAAAGTAGACATCAGAACAAAAAAAAATTTACCAGAGATGGAGGAACATATATAACGAT